ACCTGCCAAGAGAGGGCTGCCCACCAAAACTCACGGACCAGGCAAGGAGGGCATTAATCAGAGAGGCAACAAAGAGACCAAAGATAACCCTGAAGGAGCTGCAAAGCTCCACAGCGGAGATTGGAGTATCTGTCCATAGGACCACTTTAAGCCGTACACTCCACAGAGCTGGGCTTTACGGAAGAGTGGCCAGAAAAAGCCATTGCTTAAAGAAAAAAATAAGCAAACACGTTTGGTGTTCATCAAAAGGCATGTGGGAGACTCCCCAAACATATGGAAGAAGGTACTCTGGTCAGGTAAGACTAAAATTGAGCGCAAACCCAACACCTCTCATCACCCCGAGAACACCATCCCCACAGTGAAGCATGGTGGTGGCAGCATCATGCTGTGGGGATGTTTTTTTATCGGCAGGGACTGGGAAACTGGTCAGAATTGAAGGCAGAGTTCATCTCAGCCTATGCTACCCTCCAGTCTCTCGACTTCTTGGCGCTGACGGAAACATGGATTCCAACAGAAAACACTGCTACTCCTACAGCTCTTTCCTCGTCTGATCATGTGTTCTCGCATACCACGAGAGCATCTGGTCAGCGCGGCGGTGGCACAGGAATCCTCATCTCTCCCAAGTGGACATTCTCTCTTTTCCCCCTGACCCATCTGTCTATCTCCTCATTTGAATTCCATGCTGTCACAGTCACTAGCCCATTCAAGCTTAACATCCTTGTCATTTATTGCCCTCCAGGTTCCCTTGGAGAGTTCATCAATGAGCTTGACGCCTTGATAAGTTCCTTTCCTGAGGATGGCTCACCCCTCACAGTTCTGGGTGACTTTAACCTAACGACGTCTGCCTTCGACTCATTTCTCTCTGCCTCCTTCTTTCCACTCCTTTCCTCTTTTGACCTCACCCTCTCACCACCCCCCCTACTCACAAGGCAGGCAATATGCTTGACCTCATCTTTACTAGATGCTGTTCTTCTACTAATCTCACTGCAACCCCTCCAAGTCTCCGACCACTACTTTGTATCCTTTTCTCTCTCGCTCTCCTCCAACACTACTCACTCTGCCCCTACTCAGATGGTAATGCGTTGTCGCAACCTTCGCTCTCTCTCTCCCGCTACTCTCTCCTCTTCCATCCTATCATCTCTTCCCTCTGCTAAATCCTTCTCCCTCCGGTCTCCTGATTCTGCCTCCTCGACCCTCCTCTCCTCCCTTTCTGCATCTTTTGACTCTCTATGTCCCCTATCCTCCGGGCTGGCTCGGTCCTCCCCTCCTGCTCCGTGGCTTGACGACTCATTGCGAGCTCACAGAAGAGGGCTCCGGGCAGCCGAGCGGAAATGGAGGAAAACTAGACTCCCTGCGGACCTGTCATCTTTTCACTCCCTCCTCTCTACTTCCTCTGTTTCTGCTACTAAAGCCACTTTCTACCACTCTAAATTTCAAGCCTCTGCCTCTAACCCTAGGAAGCTCTTTGCCACCTTATCCTCCCTGCTGAATCCTCCTCCTCCTCCCCCTCCCTCCTCCCTCTCTGTGGATGACTTGGTCAACCATTTTGAAAAGAAGGTTGACGACATCCGATCCTCATTTATTAAGTCAAATGACACCGCTGGTCCTGCTCACACTGCCCTACCCTATGCTTTGACTTCTTTCTCCCCTCTCTCTCCAGATGAAATCTTGCAACTTGTGACGGCCGGCTGCCCAACAACCTGCCCGCTTTCCCTATCTCCTCCTCTCTTCTCCAGACCATTTCCGGACACCTTCTCTCTTACCTCACCTCGCTCATCAACTCAACCTTGAACGCTGGCTATGTCCCTTCCGTCTTCAAGAGGGCGAGAGTTGCACCCCTCCTCAAAAAACCTACACTCGATCCCTCCGATGTCAACAACTACAGACCAGTATCCCTTCTTTCTTTTCTCTCCAAAACTCTTGAGCGTGCCGTCTCTCCTGCAATCTCTCTCAGAATGACCTTCTTGATCCTAACCAGTCAGGTTTCAAGACTGGTCATTCAACTGAGACTACTCCTCTCTGTGTCACGGAGGCTCTCCGCACTGCCAAAGCTAACTCTCTCTCCTCTGCTCTTATCCTTCTAGACCTATCTGCTGCCTTTGATACTGTGAACCATCAGATCCTCCTCTCCACCCTCTCCGAGTTGGGCATCTCCGGCGCTGCTCACTCTTGGATTGCGTCCTACCTGACAGGTCGCTCCTACCAGGTGGCGTGGCGAGAATCTGTCTCCGCACCACGTGCTCTCACCACTGGTGTCCCCCAGGGCTCAGTTCTAGGCCCTCTCCTACTATCTCTATACACCAAGTCACTTGGCTCTGTCATATCCTCACATGGTCTTTCCTATCATTGCTACGCAGACGACATACAATTAATTTTCTCCTTCCCCCCCTTCTGATAACCAGGTGGCGAATCGCATCTCTGCATGTCTGGCAGACATATCAGTGTGGATGTCGGATCACCACCTCAAGCTGAACATCGGCAAGACGGAGCTGCTCTTCCTCCCGGGGAAGGACTGCCCGCTCTATGATCTAGCCATCACGGTTGACAACTCCATTGTGTCCTCCCAGAGTGCAAAGAACCTTGGCATGACCCTGGACAACACCCTGTCGTTCTCCGATAACATCAAAGCAGTGACCAGATCCTGCAGTTTTATGCTCTACAACATTCGCAGAGTACGACCCTACCTTACACAGAAAGCGGCACAGGTCCTAATCCAGGTACTTGTCATCTCCTGTCTGGATTACTGCAACTCGCTGTTGGCTGGGCTCCCTGCCTCTACCATTAAACCCCTGAAACTTATCCAGAACGATGCAGCCCGTCTGGTGTTCAAACTTCCCAAGTTCTCTCACGTCACCCCGCTCCTCCGCACACTCCACAGGCTTCCAGTTGAAGCTCGCATCTACTACAAAACCATGGTGCTTGCCTACGGAGCTGTGAGGGGAACAGCACCTCCTTACCTTCAGGCTCTGATCAGACCCTACACCCAAACGAGGGCACTACGTTCATCCACCTCTGGCCTGCTAGCCCCCCTACCTCTACAGAAGCACAGTTCCCGCTCAGCCCAGTCAAAGCTATTCGCTGCTCTGGCACCCCAATGGTGGAACAAGCTCCCCCATGACGCCAGGACAGCGGAGTCGCTGACCACCTTCCGGAGGCACTTGAAACCCTACCTCTTTAAGGAATACCTGGAATAGTATAATAGTAATCCTTCTACCCCTCCTTACTACCACTGTCTTTTGCCTAAACTAACACCTGACTTATTTCACCTGCTAGCACTGACTTGTTTAAAGAAATGTACTTATTGTGATCGAGATGTAGTTGTCCCTGATTGCACTGACTTTGCTCACAGCTGCTTGTTTGAAGAAGTGTACTTACTGTGATCAAGATGTGGTTGTCCCACTGGCTATCCTAAGTTGAATGCACCAATTTGTAAGTCACTCTGAATAAGAGCGTCTGCTAAATGACTTAAATCTAAATGTAAATGAAAGAAAAAAATAAGCAAACACGTTTGGTGTTCGCCAAAAGGCATGTGGGAGACTCCCCAAACATATGGAAGAAGGTACTCTGGTCAGATGAGACTAAAATTGAGCTTTTTGGCCATCAAGGAAAAAGCTGTCTGGCGCAAACCCAACACCTCTCATCACCCCGAGAACACCATCCGCACAGTGAAGCATGGTGGTGGCAGCATCATACATTTTTTACATTTATGTCATTTAGCAGACGCTCTTATCCAGAGCGACTTACAGTTACTGAATACATTTTTTTTTTATATACTGGCCCCCCGTGGGAATCGAACCCACAACCCTGGCGTTGCAAACGCCATGCTCTTTTAACTGAGCTACATCCCTTCCGGCCATTCCCTCCCCTACCCTGGACGACGCTGGGCCAATTGTGCGCCGCCCATGAGTCTCCCGGTCACGGCCGGCTAACGACAGAGCCTGGATTCGAACCAGGATCTAGTGGCACAGTTAGCACTGCGATGCAGTGCCTTAGACCACTGCGCCATCATGCTGTGGGGATGTTTTTCATCAGCAGGGACTGGGAAACTGATCAGAATTGAAGGAATGATTAATGGCGCTAAATACATGGAAATTCTTGAGGGAAACCTGTTTCAGTCTTCCAGAGATTTGAGACTGGGACGGAGGTTCACCTTCCAGCAGGACAATGACCCTAAGCATACTGCTAAAGCAACACTCGAGTGGTTTAAGGGGAAACATTTAAATGTCTTGGAATGGCCTAATCAAAGCCCAGACCTCAATCCAATTGAGAATCTGTGGTATGACTTAAAGATTGCTGTACACTAGCGGAAGCCATCCAACTTGAAGGAGCTGGAGCAGTTTTGCCTTGAAGAATGGGCAAAAATCCCAGTGGCTAGATGTGCCAAGCTTATAGAGACATACCCCAAGAGACTAGCAGGTGTAATTGCTGCAAAAGGTGGCTCTACAAAGTATCGACTTTGGGGGGGCTGAATAGTTATGCACGCTCAAGTGTTCTGTTTTTTCCGTCTTATTTCTTGTTTGTTTCACAATAAAAAATATTTTGCATCTTCAAAGTGGTAGGCATGTTGTGTAAATCAAATGATACAAACCCCCCAAAAATCCATTTTAATTCCAGGTTGTAAGGCAACAAAATAGGAAAAATGCCAAGGGGGGTGAATACTTTCGCAAGCCACTGTGTCAATAACATTGTCAGTTACAGTAATCCATTCTAAATGATAGCTTCCTAATCATGGTCATGGTCCTCTGTAGCTCAATTGGTAGAGCATGGCGCTTGTAACGCCAGGGGAGTGGGTTCGATCCCCGGGACCACCCATACGTAAAAATGTATGCACACATGACTAAGTCGCTTTGGATAAAAGCGTCTGCTAAATGGCATATTATTATTATCATTATTGTACCACATCCCCCTCTCAATCCCATTTGATAGTGTCTGTGTATACTGATTATGTGGACCAAGGACTGAAATACAATAGTCTAACTCTCTCTCTCTGGTCATGGCAGTCTCTCACCCAGTTCCTTGGCTGGTCTGTGCTCAACACCGACACCTATGACAAGTGGAACAAGCTGGAGAACAGGAAGGATATCTTCCAGGACATGGTGCTGTACCACATCAAGTGCAGGACGGATGAGACCCAGAATGTCTTGGTGGGTAAAGTAACATTATTCATACACAGCAGATGAAAAGTGCATTTATAACATGGAAAATAGCCTGTCATACTGGTTATTAGGTAATCAGTCAATGGTTGAACGTTAGTTACCATCTGTGAGATTTAGACAGAGAGCTATTTACAGAGAAATAACCAAGGTTTTCAGGAAATCCAGAAATTGATTGATGCAGCTCTATTTCATCCAAGGTGAACACTGATGGTGTTCTTTGCTTTTAGAATACCAGGGAGAAGTATGGAAAGGAACCACATGAGTGTGAGGAGGTGGAACTGGAAGCAATCCTGGTAAACAACTATTCTAACTAACAGTTATTTTCTTTTTGCCTCTTGTGTCGGCTGACTGGCTGACTGGCTGACTGGCTGGCTTACTGACTGGCTGACTGGCTGACTGACTAGCTGCCTTGGTAGACCACATAATGCATTTTGTTTCCCTGTCTCCATACAGTCGGAAGTTCTACCGCCCTCTACCAAGTCGGAGCTCTTTGAGTTTCACTTCTGTGACTTTGAACACAGTCATCTAGACCTGGTCAAGTTAGGCATTAAGATGTACTATGAGTTGGGAGTGGTGGACAAGTTCCACGTCCCCCGCGAGGTGAGACATCACTGAAGAAGAAGCATTTTGGCAAGAGACATCTGGCCCACACTGTTACCAAGTCATGTGTTCCATTTATAGAAGACAGAGAGCAGTGTGTTATAAAGCAAAGCTACACAATTAAGGCTTAACAATTGCATGAGTAACATTTAATAAGTACATCATGACAGTTGATGTTAGTTATAGATAATGATTATATACTTTCCTAATGTACAACATGTATTAACATAGTGTGTCAAAAACCATCTAGCTGTTGAGAGCTATCTATTCTGTAACCATGCCTATCCTATATGTGTCTCTCAGACCCTCACCAGGTTCTGTTATTCCCTCAGTAAGGGCTACAGGCAGATCACCTACCACAACTGGAGTCATGGCTTCAACGTGGGCCAGACCATGTTCACTCTGCTCATGGTGAGTACCTCAAATGGCACCCTATTCCCTAAATAGTGCACTACTTTTGACCAGAGCCCTATGAGCCCTGATCAAAAGTAGTACACTATATAGGGAATAGGGCGCCCTTTGGGACTTATATTACACAAACCCTCAGGGATAAACACTTCAGCTACAGTACCTTGCACTAACACCATGGATGATACCATGACAGTTGATACATGTAATACAGTACCAGTCAAAAGTTTGGACACACCTACTCATTCCAGGGTTTTTCTTTATTTTCACTATTTTCTACATTATAGAATAATAGTGAAGACATCAAAACTATGAAATAACACATATGGAATCATGTAGTAACCAAAAAACTGTTAAACAAATCAAAGTATATTTTCAAAGTAGCCACCCTGTGCCTTGATGACAGCTTTGCACACTCTTGGCATTCTCTCAACCAGCTCATGAGGTAGTCACCTGGAATGCATTTCAATTGACAGGTGTGCCTTGTTAAAAGTTAATTTGTGGAATTTCTTTCCTTCTTAATGCGTTTGAGCAAATCAGTTGTGTTGTGACAAGGTAGGGGTGGTATACAGAAGATAGCCTTATTTGGGAAAAGACCAAGTCCATATTATGGCAAGAACAGCTCAAATAAGCAAAGAGAAACGGCAGTCCATTACTTTAAGACATGACGGTCAGTCAATACGGAAAATATCAATAACTTTTAAAGTTTCTTCAAGTGCAGTCACAAAAACCATCAAGCGCTATGATGAAACTGGCTCTCATGAGGACTGCCATAGGAAAGGAAGACCCAGAGTTAAGTTCATTAGAGTTACCAGCCTCAGAAATTGCAGCCCAAATAAATGCTTCACAGAGTTCAAGAAACAGACACATCTCAATATCAACTGTTCAGAGGAGACTGCATGAATCAGGCCTTCATGGTCAAATTACTGCAAAGAAACCACTACTAAAGGACACCAACAAGAAGAAGAGACTTGCTTGAGCCAAAAAACACAAGCAATGGACATTAGACCGGTGGAAATCTGTCCTTTGGTCTGATGAGTCCAAATTTGAGATTTTGGGTTCCAACCGCCATGCCTTTGTGAGACGGATGATCTCCCCATGTGTGGTTACCACCGAGAAGCATGGAGGAGGCGGTGTGGGGTGCTTTGCTGGTGACACTGTCTGTGATTTATTTAGAATTCAAGGCACACATAACCAGCATGGTTACCACAGCATTCTGCAGCGATACGCCATCCCATCTGGTTTGAGCTTAGTGGGACTATCATTTGTTTTTCAACAGGTCAATGACCCAACACACCTCCAGGCTGTGTAAGGGATATTTGACCAAGAAGGAGAGTGATGGAGTGCTGCATCAGATGACCTGGCCTCCACAATCACCCGACCTCAACCCAATTGAGATGGTTTGGGATGAGTTGGACCGCAGAGTGAAGGAAAAGCAGCCAACAAGTGCTCAGCATATGTGGGAACTCCTTCAAGACTGTTGGAAAAGCATTCCTCATGAAGCTGGTTGAGAGAATGCCAAGAGTGTGCAAAGCTGTCATCAAGGCAAAGGGTGGCTACTTTGAAGAATCTCAAATATAAAATATATTTTGATTTGTTTAACACATTTTTTGGTTACTACATGATTCCATATGTGTTATTTCATAGTTTTGATGTCTTCACTATTATTCTACAATGTAGAAAATAGTAAAAATAAAGGAAACCCCTTGAATGTGTAGGTGTCCAACCTTTTGACTGGTACTGTATATCTTCAAGCTGTGGTGGCCAGGTGGTAAGGGTCTATCTTTGCTGAACCCCTTACACTAATACCCTCCTCCCCTGTCATGTAATGAGTCATCCAAGTTTGGCCCTTCCTCTCTCTGCATTATTCCTTCCTACAGTGGTGTAAAGTACTTAAGTAAAAATATTTTAAAGTACTACTTAAGTAGTTTTTTTTATATCTGTACTTTACCTTACTATTTCTATTTTTGACTAAAAAACAAGAAAATGGTGCTATCTGGTTTGCTTAATGTAAGGAATTTGAAATTATTAATACTTTTACTTTTGATACTTAAGTATATTTAAAACCAAATACTTTTTGACTTTTACTCAAGTAGTGTATGGCCTTTCACTTTTACTTGAGTCATTTTCTATTAAGGTATCTTTACTTTTACTCAAGTCTTACAATTGGGTACTTTTTCCACCACTGCCTTCCTATAATCACAGTGAACTCCTCAGACATACAGTATTATAACTCACAGCGGAAGGAGGAGCAGGGAGGAGTGTCAGGCTCATTATCAGCAGTCCTGCTCTGTGTGGCTCAGCTCAGTCCAGGCTTCATTGCTTCTAATGAGGCCTCCAGAGCCAGGCATCTCCATGGGAGCAGGAGGGGAGCGGGGACTTCGTAAGAGGCCCATGTGTGGCCCCATACAGCCCCTGGTGGAAGCCCCATGAATCCTGGCCCCTAACCTAATTTCCTGTATCATTAGACATGTGACCAAACCTAACTTCCTGTATGATTAGACATGTGACCAAACCTAACTTCCTATATCATTGCATTAGACAGGTGACCTGAAGCGTTATTACACAGACCTAGAGACCATGGCCATGGTAACAGCCGGCTTATGCCACGATATCGACCACAGAGGCACCAACAACCTCTACCAGATGAAGTAAGGGAATGACTGGGTTTAAAAAATGCTTGTTTTCTTTCAAATACTTTGACTGTTTGATTTGAGCCTGTCTAAAGTACCAAAAGGGTGGGGTATGCGCCAGGTAAGCTCAATCAATCATAGCTTATGTATTTGAAGGAAAACAAATACAATTTTAACCCAGATCTGCTGCCAACAGTGATACCTGGAAAGTTGTAGGAACATCAACTGAAACATTACTTACCAGTGGCTAATCTATTTTTGCAATCTATGTCAATCTTCCTCTCCCTCCTCCTGTGTTTGTCAGGTCTGGAAACCCTCTCGCCAAGCTCCACGGCTCCTCCATCCTGGAGAGACACCATCTGGAGACTGGGAAGACCCTGCTGAGAGACCCTGTGAGTGAGGTTGCTTCCCAAAAGGCACCCTATTCCCTACATACAGTGGCTTGCGAAAGTATTCACCCCCCTTGGCATTTTTCCCATTTTGTTGCCTTACAACCTGGAAATAAAATTGATTTTTGGCGGGTTTGTATCATTTGATTTACACAACATGCCTACCACTTTGAAGATGCAAAATATTTTTTGGGGTGAAACAAACAAGAAATAAGACAAACAGAAAACTTGAGTGCATAACTATTCGGATGGTGTTCTCGGGGTGATGAGAGGTGTTGGGTTTGCGCCAGACATAGCGTTTTCCTTGATGGCCAAAAAGCTAAATTTTAGTCTCATCTGACCAGAGTACCTTCTTCCATATGTTTGGGGAGTCTCCCACATGCCTTTTGGCGAACACCAAACGTGTTTGCTTATTTTTTTCTTTAAGCAATGGCTTTTTCTGGCCACTCTTCCGTAAAGCCCAGCTCTGTGGAGTGTATGGCTTAAAGTGGTCCTATGGACAGATACTCCAATCTCCGCTGTGGAGCTTTGCAGCTCCTTCAGGTTTATCTTTGGTCTCTTTGTTGACTCTCTGATTAATGCCCTCCTTGCCTGGTCCGTGAGTTTTGGTGGGCGGCCCTCTCTTGGCAGATTTGTTGTGGTGCCATATTCTTTCCAAGTTTCTGATATTTTTTTATAACCCAACCCTGATCTGTACTTCACAACTTTTTCCCTGACCTGTTTGGAGAGCTCCTTGGTCTTCATGGTGCCGCTTGCTTGGTGGTGCCCCTTGCTTAGTGGTGTTGCAGACTCTGGGTGCCTTTCAGAACAGGTGTATATATACTGAGATCATGTGGCACTTAGATTGCACACAGGTGGACTTTATTTAACTAATTATGTGACTTCTGAAGGTAATTGGTTGCACCAGATCTTATTTAGGGGCTTCATAGCAAAGGGGGTGAAAACATATGCACGCACCACTTTTCCGTATTTAATCTTTTTTTAATTTTTGAAACAAGTAATTTTTTTCATATCACTTCACCAATTTGGACTATTTTGTGTATGTCCATTACATGAAATCCAAATAAAAATCAACAGGTTTTACTGCAACAAAATAGGAAAAACGCCAAGGGGGATTGTGATGAGGTGTGAATGAAGGAGTCAGGCGCAGGAGGTAAAACACAGAAGTCCAGAGTTTATTCCGTTTACATAAATAAAACGCACCAAGCGTCAAAACGAAACTATCACAAGGGAAATATTCAACCTTGGCAATAACAAATGGAAGAGTAGCTACTCGCTCTCACAAATAAATAATCACTCACAAAGACAAGGGGAACAGAGGGAACACTTATACACATACTAATTAGGGGAATGAGCACCAGGTGTGTTTGATTGACAAGACAAGACATGACAAGTGGAGTGATGAGAATGGGATCGGCAGTAGCTAGTGAGCTGGTGACGACGAACGCCGAAACCTGCCCGAACAAGGAGGGGAGGCAGCCTCGGCGGAAGTCGTGACAGGGATGAATACTTTTGCAAGGCACTGTAGTCCCCATGGGCTGAATTTGGCCAGTGGGTGGTTTTATTTGGCCCTCAAGTTTTCTGAGCAATAAAATAAATAATAATAATTGTCAGACATGAAAGACTGTAAAAACACCAGGAAATCAGCTCCAAGTTATTTTAATTTTGGAAATCTGTTTCCAAGTATTCCCACGCATAATATAGAGATATACACTGAGTATACAAAACATTCTTTCCATGACATAGACTGACCAGGTGAATACAGGTGAAACCTATGATCCCATATTGATGTCACTTGTTAAATCTACTTAAATCAGTGTAGATGAAGGGGAGGAGACAGGTGAAAGACATATTTTTAAGCCTTGTGTCAATTGAAACATGGATTGTGTATGTGTGCCATTCAGAGGGTGAATGGGAAAGACAAAAAATGTAAGTGCCTTTCAACAGGGTATGGTAGTAGGTGCCAGGCGCACCGGTTTGTGTCAAGAACTGCAACGCTGCTGGGTTTTTCACACTCAACAGTTTCCTGTGTGTATCAAGAATGGTCCACCACCCAAAGGACATCCAGCCAACTTGACGCGATTGTGGGAAGCATTGGAGTCAAAATGGGCCAGCATCACTGTGGAATGCTTTTGACACCTTGTAGAGTCCATGCCCCGATAAATTGAGGCTGTTCTGTGGGCAAAAGGGGGTACAACTCAATATTAGGAAGGAGTTCCTAATGTTTGATATACTCAGTGTATGTGATCGTATACAAATGTAAGCAAGGTTTGAAATGATTATGTTTTAGTCAAATGTGATATCTGTTTGGGCTTCTTGCGGTCAATTTTCAGTCTACAACTATTTGTAATTATGTTCCAGCCCCCCGACCATGCCCTCGGCCGAATGTAGTTTTTGATCCCTGCTCTAGAAGTTCTGACCTGAGAGGGGTTGGTTTCTCCCTTGGAGAAGTCATACTGTGAATGATGCAGTTCTGATGGCACAGAAAGTGCCTGGGAGAATCTGCCCACCAGCAATCAGATAATTGGCAACCTTTCTATGTTCACATTATCACCAACCATGAACTGTGGCAGGCAGCAGCTTCACATGTTTGTTATTCCTTATTCATACATTTGATTTACTGTACATCTTTGTTGGTATTTGCGGATTCAACAGTACATGTTAAATATGAATATATTATCACATTCAAACATATCTATCTTGATATCTGTTTATCTGTTTCAGGCCTTAAATATTTATCAGAATCTCAGTCGTGCTCAGCACGAGCATGTCATTCATCTGATGGACATCGCCATCATCGCCACTGACCTCGCTCTCTACTTTAAGTGAGTAGCTACTGTCCAACTGTTGTACGGTGCCTTCAGAAAGTATTCACACCCCTTGACATTTTCCACATTTTGTTGTGTTACAGCCTGAATTTAAATGGATTCAATTGCGATTTTGTGTCACTGATCTAGACACAATACCCCATAATGTCAAAGTGTAATTTAGTTTTTATATATTTTTTAATACAAATTAATTTAAAATGTAAAGCTGAAATGTCTTGAGTCAATAAGTATTCAAACCCTTTGTTATGTCAAGCCTAAATATGTTCAGGAGTAAAAATGTGCTTAACAAGTGACATAATAAGTTGCATGGACTCACTCTGTGTGCAATAGTAGTGGTTAACATGATTTTTGAACGACAACCCCATCTCTGTACCCCACACATACAATTATCTGTAAGGTCCCGCAGTTTAGAAGTTAATTTCAAGCACAGATTCAAGCACAGATTCAAGCACAGATTCAACCACAAAGACCAGGGAGGTTTTCCAATGACTTTCAAAGAAGGGCACCTATTGGTAGATGGGTGAAAATAAAATTAAAACAGACACTGAATATCCCTTTGAGCATCGTGAAGTTATCAATTACGCATTGGAGGGTGTATAAATAAAACCAGCCACTACAAAGATACAGGTGTCCTTCCTAACTCAGTTACCGGAGAGGAAGGAAACCGCTCAGGGATTTCACCATGATTTCACCATGAATAAAAAGCGTTATGTTTGGGCCAAATCCAGCACGACACATCACTGAGTACCACTCTTAATAATTTCAAGCATGATGGTGGCTGCATCATGTAATGGGTATGCTTGTCATTGGCAAGGACTAGGGAGTATTTTAGGATAGAAAGAAACGGAATAGAGCTAAGCACAGGCAAAACCTGCTTTAGTCTGCTTTCCAACAGACACTGGGAGACAAATTCACCATTCAGCAGGACAATAACCTAAAACACAAGGCCAAATATACACTGGAGTTGCTTACCAAGATGACGTTGAATGTTCCTGAGTGGGCTAGTTAAGTTTTGACTTAAATCGGCTTGAAAATCTGTGGCAAGACTTGAAAATGGCTGTCTAGCAATGATCAACAACCAACTTGACAGAGCTTGAAGAATTTTAAAAACAATAATGGCCAAATATTGTACAATCCAGGTATGCGAAGCTGTTACCCAGAAAAAGACTTAACCAAAAACACTCACAGCTGTAATCGCTTCCAAAGGTGATTCTAACATGTATTGACTCAGGGGGGTGAATACTTATCTAATTAAGATATATTAGTGTTTTACAGTGCCTTATTCATCCCCCTTGGCGTTTTTCCTATTTTGTTGCATTACAACCTGTAATTTAAATAGATTTTTATTTTTATTTCATGTAATGGACATACACAAAATTGTCCAAATTGGTGAAGTGAAATTAAAAAAATAACTTGTTTAAAACAATTCAAAAAAATTAATAACGGAAAAGTGGTGCGTGCATATGTATTCACCCCCTTTGCTATGAATCCCCTAAATAAGATCTGGTGCAACCAATTACCTTCAGCAGTCACATAATTAGTTAAATAAAGTCCACTTGTATACAATCTAAGTGTCACATGATCTGTCAAATGATCTCACTATATACAGTGGGGAGAACAAGTATTTGAAAAACTGCCGGTTTTCCTACTTACAAAGCATGTAGAGGTCTGTAATTTTTATCATAGGTACACTTCAACTGTGAGAGACAGAATCTAAAACAGAAATCCAGAAAATCACATTGTATGATTTTTAAGTAATTAATTTGCATTTTATTGCATGACATAAGTATTTGATACATCAGAAAAGCATAACTTAATATTTGGTACAGAAACCTTTGTTTGCAATTACAGAGATCATATGTTTCCTGTAGGTCTTGACCAGGTTTGCACACACTGCAGCAGGGATTTTGGCCCACTCCTCCATACAGACCTTCTCCAGATCCTTCAGGTTTCGGGGCTGTCGCTGGGCAATACGGACTTTCAGCTCCCTCCAAAGATTTTCTATTGAGTTCAGGTCTGGAAACTGGCTAGGCCACTCCAGGACCTTGAGATGCTTCTTACGGAGCCACTCCTTAGTTGCCCTGGCTGTGTGTCTCGGGTCGTTGTCATGCTGGAAGACCCAGCCACGACCCATCTTCAATGCTCTTACTGAGGGAAGGAGGTTGTTGGCCAAGATCTTGCGATACATGGCCCCATCCATCCTCTCCTCAATACGGTGCAGTTGTCCTGTCCCCTTTGCAGAAAAGCATCCCCAAAGAATGATGTTTCCACCTCCATGCTTCACGGTTGGGATGGTGTTCTTGGGGTTGTACTCATCCTTCTTCTTCTTCCAAACACGGCGAGTGGAGTTTAGACCAAAAAGCTCTATTTTTGTCTCATCAGACCACATGACCTTCTCCCATTCCTCCTCTGGATCATCCAGATGGTCATTGGCAAACTTCAGACGGGCCTGGACATGCGCTGGCTTGAGCAGGGGGACCTTGCGTGCGCTGCAGGATTTTAATCCATGACGGCGTAGTGTGTTACTAATGGTTTTCTTTGAGACTGTGGTCCCAGCTCTCTTCAGGTCATTGACCAGGTCCTGCCGTGTAGTTCTGGGCTGATCCCTCACCTTCCTCATGATCATTGATGCCCCACGAGGTGAGATCTTGCATGGAGCAGTTGTTGCCTTCTCACCAAGCTGCTTGCCTATTGTCCTGTAGCCCAACCCAGCCTTGTGCAGGTCTACAATTTTATCCCTGATGTCCTTACACAGCTCTCTGGTCTTGGCCATTGTGGAGAGGTTGGAGTCTGTTTGATTGAGTGTGTGGACAGGTGTCTTTTATACAGGTAACGAGTTCAAACAGGTGCAGTTAATACAGGTAATGAGTGAAGAACATGAGGGCTTCTTAAAGAAAAATTAACAGGTCTGTGAGAGCCGGAATTCTTACTGGTTGGTAGGTGATCAAATACTTATGTCATGCAATAAAAAGCAAATTAATTACTTAAAAATCATACAATGTGATTTTCTAGATTTTTGATAAAAATTACAGACCTCTACATGCTTTGTAAGTAGGAAAACCTGCAAAATCGGCAGTGTATCAAATACTTCTCCCCACTGTATACACCTGTTCTGAAAGGCCCCAGAGTCTGCAACACCACCAAGCAAGGGACACCACCAAGCAAGCGGCACCATGAAGACCAAGGAGCTCTCCAAACAGGTCAGGGACAAAGTTGTGGAGAAGTACAGATCAGGGTTGGGTTATAACAAAATATCAGAAACTTTGAACATCCCACGGAGCACCATTAAATCCATTATTTAAAAAATGGAAAGAATATGGCACCACAACAATCCTGCCAAGAGAGGGCCGCCCACCAAAACTCACGGACCAGACAAGGAGGGCATTAATCAGAAAGGCAACAAAGAGACCAAAGATAACCCTGAAGGAGCTGCAAAGCTCCACAGTATTACATTTACATTTAAGTCATTTAGCAGACGCTCTTATCCAGAGCGACTTACACATTGGTGCATTCAATTTAGGATAGCCAGTGGGACAACCACCACTGGGGGAGGGGGGGTGTAGTAGGATTACTGTTATACTATTCCAGGTATTCCTTAAAGAGGTAGGGTTTTAAGTGTCTCCGGAAGGTGGTCAGTGACTCCGCTGTCCTGGCGTCGTGAGTATCTGTCCATAGGACCACTTTATGCCGTACACTCCACAGAGCTGGGCTTTACGGAAGAGTGGCAAGAAAAAAGCCATTGCTTAAAGAAGGAAATAAGCAAACACGTTTGGTGTTCACCAAAAGGCATGTGGGAGACTCCCCAAACATATGGAAGAAGGTACTCTGGTCAGATGAGACTAAAATTGAGCTTTTTGGCCATCAAGGAAAACGCTATGTCTGGCACAAACCCAACACCTCTCATCACCCCAAGAACACCATCCGCACAGTGAAGCATGTTGGTGGCAGCATCATGCTATAGGGTTGTTTTTCATCAGCAGGGACTGGGAAACTGGTCAGAATTGAAGGAATGATGGATGACGCTAAATACATGGAAATTCTTGAGGGAAACCTGTTTCAGTTTTCCAGAGATTTGAGACTGGGATGGAGGTTCACCTTCCAGCAGGACAATGACCCTAAGCATACTGCTAAAGCAACACTTGAGTGGTTTAAGGGGAAACATTTAAATGTCTTGGAATGGCCTAGTCAAAGCCCAGACCTCAATCCAATTCAGAATCTGTGGTATGACTTAAAGACCAGCGGAAGCCATCCAACTTGAAGGAGCTGGAGCAGTTTTGCCTTGAAGAATGGGCAAAAATCCCAGTGGCTAGATGTGCCAAACTTATAGAGACATACCCCAAGAGACTTGCAGTTGTAATTGCTGCAAAAGGTGGCACTACAAAGTATTGACTTTGGGGGGGGTGAATAGTTATGCACGCTAAAGTTTTCAGTTTTTTTGTCTTATTTCTTGTTTGTTTCACAATAAAACATATTTTGCATCTTCTAAGTGGTAGGCATGTTGTGTAAATCAAATTATACAAACCCCCCCAAAATAAATTCTAATTACAGGTTGTAAGGCAACAAAATAGGAAAAATGCCAAGGGGGGTGAATACTTTCACAAGCCACTGTATTCTTCATACATTAAAAAAATACATATATATATTGAATATATATATATGAATATATGAATACTTATCTAATTAAGATATGTTTGGGTTTTATTTTTCATACTTAAAAAGAGGAGGAGGAGTAGCTGCTGCTTTCGCAACAGCTAATGGGGATCCTAATAAAATACCAATACCAAACACCAAATGGCACCATATTCCCTACATAGTGCACTACTTTTGATCAGCCTGGTCAAAAATAGTGCACTATATAGGGAATAGGGTGCCATTTGGGAGTCATCCTGTGTCATGGTAACTGAGGATGATTTCCTCCTGTCTGTAGGAAAAGAACCATGTTCCAGAAGATCGTGGACCAATCGAAGACCTACGAGAGCTGGGATGAGTGGACCAAGTACATGACGCAGCAGACCACTCGCAAGGAGATAGTCATGTAGGTGAATTCCCTAGGAGAGTTATAGGCCTAGGCATATGAGGGTAGTAGTGCCCTATGGAGGAAACTATGGAGGTCTTTGTAAGATGTAACTTTTCAAACGTAACAGGGCAGAAACTAAGCCAAAACTAAGACATGGCAGGACAGAAACTAAGACAAAGACAATCTATGGAGGTCTTTACAGGTCCAAGACCATATTAGACTTTAACACAATCTGTCATAAATGATGGGTTCACTAAGGTGTGGAGAAAATAATTATACTCCTGTCACAACTGCTTTTCCGACAGACCTTTGAATGATCTGGCATTAAAGGCCATGTAGGATTCTTCCTAGGTTCATGCCTTTCTAGGGAGTTTTTCCAAGCCACCGTGCTTCTCCATCTGCATTGCTTGCTCTTTGGGTTTTTTGGCACTTTGTGACATCTGCTGATGTAAAAAGGGCTTTATAAATAAATTTGATTGATTGATACTCACACTATCTACATACACAGGGCTATGATGATGACGGCCTGTGATCTGTCTGCTATTGCCAAACCATGGGACATCCAGAGCAAGGTAACATAGATGTTTGAAGAATTAAGTCTTGCTGCTTTTCTCATAATGACACAGCATCTGAGAACATGTGGCTTTCAGCAGTCCACATTGAAAACAGAAGAGGATGTGAGGAATAGCAATGAGTATGGAATATAATTTATGTAATGGCATTTTGCTTGTAAACTCTGGATTGCATCAGAAGCAGAAGCTTTCATACTACATTATCTATTAAATTGTAATTGAATATTTCCATCAAGTTAAGACAGCACAAACTCACATCAGTGCAAATGTACTCTTGTTGCTATGGACATCATCATACTGTACATTTCATAATGTTGGTCTGCGAGTGACCATTCCTGTGTGAGCCTGCAGGTGGCGCTGTCTGTGGCTGCAGAGTTCTGGGAGCAGGGTGACTTGGAGAGGACTGTACTGGAGCAGCAGCCTATTGTAAGAACAGAGAGAGAGAGAGAGAGAGAGAGAGAGAGAGAGAGAGAGAGAGAGAGAGAGAGAGAGAGAGAGAGAGAGAGAGAGAGAGAGAGAGAGAGAGAGAGAGAGAGAGAGAGAAGAGGATAGGAGATAGGAGATAGGAGATGATAGAGGATGAGCGCTCTCGTAATCGTGCGCGCTTATATCGGCTCCGAGAAGGGTGTTTCCCATAGGGCATGTGGTGATGTCTATTATGTAGTGTAGTGAATCAGATAGAGCGGTCACTACAGCCCAGTTAACTGGATCATGTCCTGACTCACACCATTTTACCCAGCCAGCTCCCTAGGACTTTAGTAGCATTTGTGTCAGAACGGGAAAATGTAGTTTAGGTTCATTCGATTGCTTTAGCTGGAGTCAAGTAGAGCCCAGTTTCAGTACATTTGCACTACTAATCACATGATCCCCCCCCCCAGCCCATGATGGACAGGACTAAATCAGCTGATCTTCCCAAGATGCAGTGTGGTTTCATCGATTTTGTCTGTGCTTTTGTGTACAAGGTGAGTCCTTGTGTCTCTATCATAAATAAATAACTAGTAGATGGCACTGAATACCAAGTAACTTAGATCTAACAAGGATTTTGAACTCACTCCCTCTTGCCTCACACCTTCCACCTCCTCTCCATCTCCCCCACCTCCTTTAGGAGTTCTCTCGTTTCCATGTGGAGATCACTCCCATGCTGGACCGGTTGCTGAACAACAGGAAGGAGTGGAATGCTCTGAAGGAGATACACGAAGCAAAGCTGGCTGCTCTGGAGGAGGCCAAGACGGCCAAGGAGGAGGTAGCCATTGCAGCCACCGCAGACAAGCAGGGTAACGCACGCACACACACATGCACCCACAGACACACAAACACGCACACGCACACACAGGAAAGACTAGGAATTAAGGCTGTTGATATTGGTGAAGAACATAATTCAAAAAGACAATGTCATTAAGAAATACTCCACACTTCCTCTTAGACATGGTGGAAACTACACTGAACAAAAATATAAACGTAACATGCAACAATTTAAAAGATTTTACAGAGTTACAGTTCATATAAGGAAATCAGTAAATTGAAATAAATTCATTAGAACCTAATCTATGGATTTCACATGGCTAGGAATACAGATATGCATCTGTTGGTCACAGAATCCTTAAAAAAAAGGGTTGATCAGGCTGTTGATTGTGGCCTGTGGAATGTTGTCCCACTCCTCTTCAATGGCTGTGCGAAGTTTATTGATATTGGTGGGAACTGGAACACACTGTCGTACACGTTGATCCAGAGCATCCCAAACATGCTCAATGGGTGACATGTCTGGTGAGTATGCAGGCCATGGAAGAACTGGAACATTTTCAGCTACTAGGAATTGGGTACAGATCCTTGCGACATGGGGCCGTGCATTATAATAATTATAATAATGATTATTATACCGTAACCCCACCGCCACCATAGGCACTCTGTTCACAACGTTGACATCAGCAAACCTTCTCTGCGTGCCAGTGGCCATCGAAGGTGAACATTTGCCCACTGAAGTTGGTTACGACGCTGAACTGCAGTCAGGTCAAGACCCTGGTGAGGATGACGAGCATGCAGATGAGCTTCCCTGAGACAGTTTCTGACAGTTTGTGCAGAAATTCTTCAGTTGTGCAAACCCACAGTTTCATCAGCTGTCCGGGTGGCTGGTCTCAGACGATTCTGCAGGTGAAGCAGCCGGATGTGGAGGTCATGGGCTGGCGTGGTTACAAGAGGTCTGCGGTTGTGAAGCCGGTTGGACATTCTGCCAAATTCTCTAAAACAACGTTGGAGGCGGCTTATGGTAGAGAAATGAACATTAAATTGCTCGCTCCCTCAAAATTTGAGACATCTGTGGCAATGTGTTGTGTGACAAAACTGCACATTTTAGAGTGGCCTTTTATTGTGTAATGATCATGCTGTTTAATCAGCTTCTTTACATGCCACACCTGTCAGTTGGATGGATTATCTTGGCAAAGGAGAAATGCTCACTAACAGGGATGTAAACAAATTTGTGCACACATTTTAGAGAAATAAGCTTTGTGTGCGTATGGAACTTTTCTGGGATCTTTTATTTCAGCTCATGAAACATGGGAACAACAGTTTACATGTTGCGTTTAGCTTTTTTTCAGTGTACTAAGAGCATCTGTCTTTGGGGACATGCAAAACCCTAGAGGAAAACACTGCAGACTGCCAAAAATGTGGACTATCTCTATTTGAAACAATGTATAGTTTATGCTCTGGGGCTCATTCAACTTTATAAATGTGAGATCAGGGTCTATATTCATAAAGTGTCTCAGAGTAGTAGTGCTGATCTAGGATCAGTTGTCCCTTTTAGATCATAATGAATAAGATTATATAGACAGGGAGGACCTGATCCGAGATCAGCACTTCTACTCTGTGATGCTTTCTGAATACAGACCCTGTACTCTAATCCTTTGTTGTTCCCTCTCTCACACAGCAAGTGCAGCCGAAGCAGCCCCCCAGTCAAAGACCTGTGTTGTCAACTAGAAGAGAGAGATCCCAGATCTGGACCAAAGTGACTGCACCAAGACAGGAGCTTTACGTCCCTGTACCCGATATCGGTCTACTAGAGCTGGTTAGCATTAGCCTAGCATAGCCTTACAATATACTGAACTAGAGCCGGTTAGCATTAGCTTAGCGTAACCTTACAGTATACATAACTAGTACCGGTTAGCATTATCTTAGCATTACAGTATACATAACTAGAGCTGGATAGCATTAGCTTAGCGTAGACTTAGCGTAGACTTACAGTATACTGCACTGTGCTGTACATTGACCTATTTATTGACCTATTTATGGTACAAAGCCAGATGATCCACAGGCTGGAGCAGTTTGTGGACAAATTCAAACACAGCCTATTCCTGTGCAATGGATGTAAATATTTAGCTATTTTAGTGGAATTACTATATACTTACGCACTCGTTAATTTGGTAATGTGAAATTGACTTCCTTAGAAATATGGAATTCAGTTAGCAAAAAAAGGTTGGGGATCATTTCCATTGTCTAAACATACAGTGCATTTGTAAAGTATTCAGACCCCTTGACTTTTTCCACGTTATGTTACAGCTTATTCTAAAATGGATTAAATGAAAATAATTCCTAATCAATCTACACACAATACAACCATAATGACAAAGCAAAAACAGGCTTTTACAAATAAAAAACAGAAATACATTATTTATAAACAGGTTTTTAGTAAGTTTTGCAAATTTATTACAACTAAAAAACAGAAATACCTTATTTCCATAAGTATTCAGACCCTTTGCTATGAGACTCGAAATTGAGCTCAGGTGCATCCTGTTTCCATTGATCATCCTTGAGATGTTTCTACAACATTTTTACATTTACATTTTAGTCATTTAGCAGACGCTCTTATCCAGAGCGACATACAGTTAGTGAATGCATACATGTTTTATTTATTTTTATTAAAAACATTTCATACTGGCCCCCCGTGGGAAAAGAACCCACATCCCTGTCGGCCAAACCCTCCCCTACCTTGGACGACGCTGGACCAATTGTGCGCCGCCCATGGGTCTCCCGGTCGCAGCTGGCTGCGACAGAGCCTGGACACGAACCAGGATCTCTAGTGGCACAGCTAGCACTGCGATGCAGTGCCTTAGACCACTGCGCCACTCGGGAGTCAACATGATTGGATTCCACCTGGGGTAGTATGAAAAAAAAAGAAGAAGAAATGTATGCACTAACTGTAAGTCGCTCTGGATAAGAGCGTCTGCTAAATGACTAAAATGTAAAAAAATGTCAAATGTAAAATAAATTGATTGGACATGATTTGGAAAGGCACACACCTGTCTATATAAGTGCCCACAATTGACAATGCATGTCAGAGCAAAAACCAAGCCATGAGGTCGAACAAATTGTCCGTAGAGCTCCAAGACAGGATTGTGTCGAGGCACAGATCTGGGGTACCAAAAAGTGTACCAAAAAATGTCTGCAGCATTGAATGTCCCCAAGAACACAGTGGCCTCCATCATTCTTAAATGGAAGAAGTTTGGAACCACCTAGACTCTTCCTAGAGCTGGCCGCCCGGCCAAACTGAGCAATCAGGGGAGAAGAGCCTTGGTCAGGGAGGTGACCAAGAACCTGATGGTCACTCTGACAGAGCTCCAGAGTTCCTCTGTGGAGATGGGAGAACCTTCCAGAAGGACAACCATCTCTGCAGCACTCCACCAATCAGGCCTTTATGGTAGAGTGCCCAGACGGAAGCCACTCCTCAGTAAAAGGCACATGACAGCCCGCTTGGAGTTTGCCAAAAGGCACCTAAAGGACTCTCAGACCATGAGAAACAAGATTCTCTGTTCTGATGAAACCAAGATTGAACTCTTTGGCCTGAATGCCAAGCGTCACGTCTGGAGAAAACCTGGGACGGTGAAGCATGGTGGTGGCAGCATCATGCTGTGGGAATGTTTTTCAGCGGCAGGGACTTTGAGACTAGTCAGGATTGAGGGAAAGATGAACGGAGCAAAGTACAGAGAGATCCTTTATGAAAACCTGCTCCAGAGCGCTCAGGACCTCAGACTGGGGCGAAGGTTCACCTTCCAACAGGACAACGACCCTAAGCACACAGTCAAGACTACGCAGGAGTGGCTTCGGGACAAGTCTCTAAAAGTCCTTGATTGGCCCAGCCAGAGCCCGGACAATCGAACATCTCTGGAGAGACCTGAAAATAGCTGTGCAGCGACGCTCCCCATCCAACCTGATGAATGGGAGAAACTCCCCAAATACAGGTGTGCCAAGCTTCTAGCGTCATACCCAAGAAGACTTGAGGCTGTAATCGCTGCCAAAGGTGCTTCAACAAAGTACTGAGTAAAGGGTCTGAATACTTATGTAAATGTGATATTTCCGTTTTGTATTTTTAATACATTGGCAAAACAAATATTTTAAAACAACAAAAAATAACGTTTTTGCTTTGTCATTATGGGGTATTGTGTGTATATTGATTAAAACAATTTAATCAATTTTAGAATAAGGCTGCAATGTAACAACATTTTGAAAAAGTCAAGGGGTCTGAATACTTTCAGAATGCACTGTATATGTAGTAGTCTATCCTTGATTTCAGCAGTGTATCTCTGTATTTAATTGATATAGATGTGTATCCTATGCTACCCTATCCTATCGTTATTAGTAATGTAAATAAACCGCTAATTCAACTCTGCATCTGTCCCTCACCGCATAATTAAGTCCACAGCCTCAGCATCACCCTCAGGATGTAGTGAGTGTTACAGTGTGTGTACAAGGTGTGTGTGTGTGTGTGTTAACTATCCCACTGGGGTCATAAATAACAGTCTTATAAAACACAGAAAGATGCCCCACCTAATTGAGCGCCGAGAATGAGAACTGATTGGCAGAGGGAATCAGAGGGGGTGGGCTTTCTTTAGCAAAGAGCTGTGTGTCACCACTACACACCAACAAGCTACACAACACAGTAGTAAACATAGTAAAGCACTGTGCTAAGCAGTGCACTGACCCAGCTGCCTCTATCTCTCTCTGTTTAACCAATAGGGGATTGCTGCAGTCAGGGTTGCCCCTATAGGGCTGTGGTGCTCAGTGAGGCTCCTAGTGTCTCGTAGCTGCATAGAGGCTGAGGCTGCAGGGGGATGAGAGACAGCCAGTTAGAGAGCATCACACTGACATGAATCACAGGCAAGATGAGTGGAAAATTGGCCAGTGGCTCCTTAAGAGACACCATTAATCGGGAAGTCTTAATCAGTCAGTGCGTCCATCCGCTAGGCTAGCTAGATATGTCCCCTTAACAAGGATAACTGCGGACACAGACACTCTACACCAAGGGACCCCCTCCCCTCCCCTCCCAAACCACTGCATAAAAACAAATTATAGAATCATACCAAATATGCTTGTGTCAGATGTGATGTTTCTCTTTGTAGAAAGCATGGGGAAAAGGTTGATATTGCTTTGCTGTGTAAGCCTTTCAATAGAGAAATCCCCTTTTGTTGCTTTCTTGTGATGTCATTACTGATTACTGTAGGTCAGAATGTGCAGTCTAGTAAGGAGCCCTGCTACAAAGTCAGGCACTGCATGTATTGGCTCTGAATATGCACCACAGAAAGAAAGATTAAGATCTGAATTAAACTAGTTTAACTACTGCTGTTGTGTGTTGTGTTGTTTTGTGTTGTCTTGTGGTGTAACACCACATCATAGTACCTCAGTGAAACGTGACCTGACTAGACCTCCTCTGCTCCATGTGTACCGTCTCAACCATTGACACATGAATTAATGCACAACTCATATAATGTCATGTCCAAACCTTCACGTTGTTCATTAGGATTTAATTTTTTGGGAGGCAAATTAATGAATATGTACTTTTTTACAGTATATGAGGAACATTTCTATAGTTTAATAATGTAAACAATCTCTGAAGAGAAATGTATTCAGTTTAAAAGGAAGTCATCATCTATTTACATGAATTAAAATATAATTTATAACATCAGATCATTTCCGCTATAGATAAATGCATCTATGAAACTAGATTTTAACAATTCAAAAATACTGAAATGCATTTTGTCTCTACATTATCAACACATTTGAAATCACACGAAACAGAAAAAACACCAATAAAAGACATCCAAACTAAGTGGCATATAAATAAAAAAGAATAAACGCTAAATAAAACAAACGTGTAAAAAATATAAAATCTTACAAGCAGTATTTACCGTTTACCAAAAACTAAGTTAAAAAAGGAAATCATTTTGTGAATTTTTATAGTCATTAGATGTAAATAGACACAAAAAAAACTATACCAATAAAAACTAAAAAACACACAACAATGTATGCCCTTTTTTGTCCGTTTTTCTTCCACCAAACACCCACAGACAGCTAGCTAGATTGTGACCGTTTGCAACCCCCAAAGTGCCCATTGACATCACGTTACCATCTGTCTGCCTGGGATTCCATTTTTTTTGTTGATACACACAACTAGTAGTAGTGCAGACATAACCATTTACATCCAGAATACAGTGATCAGGGGTGATTCAGTGGCCTATATAGGACCAGTATTGCAAGCACTTTCTGTCCATAGGGCGTTTTATTAATGTGGTGGTGAGTTTAAAGAGACATTTTCCAATTAAATGAAATGTCAGAACTTAAATATGTACACGAAATGACCAAAAGTATGTGGACACCTGCTCGTCGAACATCTCATTCCAAAATCATGGGCATTAATATGGAGTTGGTTCCCCCTCTGCTGCTAGAACAGCCTCCACTCTTCTGGGAAGGCTTTCCACTAGATGTTGGAACATTGCTGCGGGGACTTGCTTCCATTCAGCCACAAGAGCATTAGTGAGGTTGGGCACTGATGTTGGGCGACTAGGCCAGGCTCGCAGTCGGCGTTCCAATTCATCCCAAAAGTGTTCGATGGGGTTGAGGTCAGGGCTCTGTACAGGCCAGTCAAGTTCTTCCACACTGATCTCGACAAACCTTTTCCACTTCACAATGACAGCACTTACAGTTGACCGGGGCAGCTCTAGAAGGGCAGAAATATGACGAACTGACTTGTTGGAAAGATTGCATCCTGTGATGGTGCCACGTTGAAAGTCACTGAGCTCTTCAGTACGGGCCATACTACTGCCAATGTTTGTCTATGGATATTGCGTGGCTGTGTGCTCGATTCTATATACCTGTCAGCAACAGGTGTGGCTGAAATAGCCGAATTTACTAATTTGAAGGGCTGTCCACATACTTTTGTATATATAGCGTATTTGTGTGGGCCATGTTGTTGACATTTAGAAAATAAATCTGACGAGGCACTCCAAATTCGATTTCAAGCCAACATCAAATATAGTTTTTGGTCAATTTGCCTCAAGTTTATTTCTTGCTATTTTCAGAAATGAAAATTGGAAAGGAAATATTGCATTCTGTTCTGACGAGGGTCCCCTTTGGAAGGAGTTCAATTTGGATCATCTCTCAATTTAACAAATGCTAGATTGATAGTAGGCTAGTGGTTGAAATGTGTCGAAGTGCTCTGAAACACTGAGGAAAATGGTCACATCAAAGTTTTCAATAAGAAAGTATATACAGTGCCTTGCAAAACTATTCATCCCCCTTGGGGTTTTTCCTATTTTGTTGCATTACAACCTGTAATTTAAATTAATTTTTAACATAAACAAAATTGTCCAAATTGACATTAAACAAAATAGTCCAAATTGGTGAAGTGAAAAAATAAAATAACCTGTTTCCAAAAATTCTAAAAAATAAATAATGGAAAAGTGGTGCGTGCATATGTATTCACACTCTTTGCTATGAAGCCCCTAAATAAGATCTGGTGCAACCAATTACCTTCAGAAGTCATATAATTAGTTAAATAAGCCCACCTGTGTGCAAATAAGTGTCACATGATCTCAGTATATATACACACCTGTTCTGAAAGGCACCCAGAGTCTGCAACACCACTAAGCAAGGGGCACCACCAAGCAATCGGCACCATGAAGACCAAGGAGCTCTCCAAAGAGGTCAGGGACAAAGTTGTGGGGAAGTACAGATCAGGGTTGGGTTATGAAAAAAGATCAGAAACTTTGAACATCCCATGGAGCACCATTAAATCCATTATAAAAAATGGAAAGAATATGGCACCACAACAAATCTGCCAAGAGAAGGCCGCCCAGCAAAACACATGGACCAGGCAAGGAGGGCATTCAGAGTGACCATCAGGTTCTTGGTCACCTCCCTGACCAAGCCCCATCTCCCCCGATTGCTCAGCTCTAGGAAGAGTCTTGGTGGTTCCACACTTACATTTAAGAATGATGGAGGCCACTGTGTTCTTGGGGACCTTCAATGCTGCATACATTTTTTGGTACCCTTCTCCAGATCTGTGCCTCGACACAATCCTTTCTCTGAGCTCTACGGACAATACCTTCGACCTCATGGCTTGGTTTTTGCTCTGACATGCACTGTCAACTGTGGGACCTTTATATAGGTGTGTGCCTTTCCAAATCATGTCCAACAATTTAATTTACCACAGGTGGACTCCAATCAAGTTATAGAAACATCTCAAGGATGATCAATGGAAACAGGATTGACCTTAGCTACATTTTGAGTCTCATAGCAAAGGGTCTTAATACTTACGTAAATAAAGTATCCGTTTTTTTATTTTGTATACATTTGCAAAATTTTCTAGAAACCTATTTTCGCTTTGTCGTTATGGGGTATTGATGAGGACATTTTTTTTATTTAAACCATTTTAGAATAAGGCTGTAACGTAACAACATTTGGAAAAAGGGAAGAGGTCTGAATACTTTCCGAATGCACTGTACCTTTTATAATATGGATGTATGTATTGAAAAAGGTTTTCATTACTTCAGTAATTAATAAAACACATTGGATTTGAAAGGAGCTAGAACAGTAACAACAGTGATAGATTTAGTTAGTCCCTATTGTGTTAAGGCTCTCCTTGTGAGAATCGTCTGTTTGCTGTCATTCAATTCTACTGATGGAAGCACACCACTGGCATCAAGTAGGCCGAAAATACAAAAGGGCTAAAATTGCAATGACTGTTTTCTTTCCCTCTATCCAAAATGTGTCATATATGTTCACAAGTTACCAAATATTAAGTGTCCACTGAAATTCAACAAGTTGAACAACCTGTGTACCGACATTATGTGTCAGTAATAGATAGTTCCCTTCATGAAAAGTTGCAAACAGATATTTCACTATTTTTTACAGTTCTAACATTACTTTTTAGATGTAAAAAATGACTGACCACATTACTATTATTTGTCATTTTACAGGATCTGTTTTCAAGGATTGCCCCTGTCATATTTTAACAACCAACCACTTGAATAACCCCTTCCAATCCCTGTCATATTTTAACAACCAACCACTGAAATAACCCCTTCCAATCTCATAGATATATATGTATTGCATCTCAATACAAAAAATAAAAATCATTAAAAATATTTTGTCATAAAATAAAAATAAAAAAAACCTTAGCATATCTAAAGGGATACTTTATACAACAGTGTTTGCCTTGAGTCAAGTAATTTCTACATAAATTACTCCCTGTATTGTTCAAACTTGCATCTTTAAACAGTTTATTCTTGCCTGTCTGATTTGCGATCGTGACCCACCACCTTTATAATGCACGCTGTATAGACACAACGACACATTTAATGTTTACACTAGACATAGTGCTATATACACATATTATATCATATATACACATATTATATCATATATACACATATTATATCATATATATATATTGTATCGTGTAAACCAGCACATTCTCTCACTATTTAGTAGTATACATACTAAGCACAAATACTTTTTCAGCTTTTCTTCTTTTGATTAGTAAGGGGTTTTTCAGATGACATCTAATTTCTCAATCAGTATGTATAGCACTAAATTGTCGTTTATTCGGTAAACCTACTAGGGTAAGCCAAGAAGGCACATCCTGATAGGATACTCTCGAACACTGAATAAGGCGTCTTTGTACTTAGTGTGCGCTCTAATAAAGTGGAAGGAGAATTCAGTGATGTAAACATTCAGTTTCATGTGTTACAGGAGGAGTTTAGATAAATGAGGGGTAGAGCGAGACAGGGATAAAACCCTAGAAAAAAGGAAAGGGGGTTTGCCAAGGCTGGGGCAGCACGAGGCCCCATGCCCACACACAGAAAGGCTGCACAGTATTGAGGGGCCGGAGGACAGGGGGACCTGGTCCTTGAAGAAAACAAGAACAAAAGGGGGAGAGAAGAAGAGGTCTTAAGTCTCCCAGCACACCAGAGGGCCATGTGTCCCCCTGGGATCCCCAGCGATGGCAGCGCTCACCCGAACACGAGACAAAGACAGACGACTCACTCAGGTACACATTGGATACACGGTTGAGACTGACTCCAAAAAACTGACACACAATCTATTTAGAGTTTTTAGCCACGAGGCGAGAAGTGGGAGTTTTAGCGGGAAAACCAAGCTGACGTCCTCCACCTATCAGAGAGCTTGGGAAAAGTAAACAAGTGTTTCAGAGTAGAAGGAAGAGAGAGAGGGTAAAAAGAGGGAGAGAGAACCCGAGAAGGAGAGGGAAGGAGAGGGGAGAAGAGGGAAGGAGAGGGAATGAGAGGGAAGGAGAGGGAAGGAAAGGGAAGAAGAGGGAAGGAGAGGGAAGAAGAGGGAAGGAGAGGGAATGAGAGGGAAGGAGAGGGAAGGAAAGGGAAGAAGAGGGAAGGAAAGGGAAGGAGAGGGAAGGAAAGGGAAGAAGAGGGAAAAAGAGGGAAGGAGAGGGAAGGAGAGGGAAGGAGGTAGAGATGCTTGACTGATGTAGTACCATCCATACCTCTGGGAAATGTCAACAGACTTCGACAGAGTTGATTTCCCACCCCCCCCTCTCTCAGGTGTTAATGCTAGTATGACCTCTACCCTCACCAGATACAGAGGTAGTTCCCCTGTACGGTGAGCCTCGGACGGTCTCACCCTCAGCTATACTGCTGGCTGCATCACAAAGAGACAGGCTGCAATAGAGCTCCATTAAAGAAGCACAACTACAGAGACTTGGATTAATATAATAACAATAATAATAACAACAATAATAATAATAACAATAATAATTTGGATTCAGGTAGGGGCTCTACATTCGGATCATTCAGGTGTACATTCCATTACTATAGTTTAGGGTATATCTGGAACTTGTAGTAAATGTCTGATTCTACTCTGTCCTTGACTGGGTTGACTTACTGACTGAGTCAGATGTTCCGACAGTACGAACAGTGCAGAGAATTGGCTACGATGGATTTTGTGATTTCTTAGGGTAAATATGCCTTGATGTTTACTTCATGACATAATAGCATTGGTTGTCATAACCCCATTGTGTGTTGGTAGGATAGGAAGTGACTGCCATCCTAGATTAGTGTTAGCACAGCGTTCCCCAAACTCGGTCCTGGGGCCCCCCCTGGGTGCACGTTTTGGTTTTTGCCCTAGCACTACACAGCTGATTCAAATAATCAAAGCTTGATGATGAGTTCATTATTTCAATCAGCTGTGTAGTGCTAGGGCAAAAACCTAAATGGAAATGGGAAAAGCTGTAAGTTAGCAGGTTGTGTCTATCTCAGCAGCAGTGGGAACCTTCAGAGTAACGCAGCCAACAGCATGGCAGCGTTGTGTGGCAGAGTAGGGGAAAATCGAGAGAAGAACATTATTACCTCGTTAGAGTGCATAGATTAAATTAAGGAAGCACTAAAATGACATAAAACAAGATTTCTTTCTTTTCATTTTCGATTTGTAAACTTTAAGTTGTTCAAATGATTTTTCTGCTTTTGTATTTTATGTCATAACACACATAGTTTTAACATCCACAAGTTTGCTAATATAGAGCAGGCTCGTTATATACTGTACGACGCAACGGCCAATACAGCTGAGCTTGCAGTTGCACCAGTAGTGACCAAGGGGGTACAAAGAAACGACACACACGCAGACACACACACCACAACGACCAACAGAGGGAGAAATGTTTGCTACAGAAGTCTCGCCTGACTGCACACCCACTCCCAACGGGGCGACGACGAGTCACGACAAAGTCATGAACACAGACAGGAAGCAGCTTTTGTGTTCAGAGAGTTTCTATGTTGTTTGGTTGCTTTTTCCTCCACCCCTTCAACCCCCGCTTGCTTTCTCAGTAGTATCCTCAGTCGAAAGAGACAAGGTCAGTTTCTTATTCGAATGTTAAAAATGTAAACATGATGAGTTGCCTTGGTTGAGGTACTGAGGTGAGTCTGGGGGTGGTTTGGGGATTCTAAGGCGAGGCCAGCCGAGTCACCATCAGCGATGCAGGCTCTTCTGGGCCTCCTTCAGCAGGGTGTCAAAGTCCAGGGCGTCATACTTGCTCTTTACCGGCCCTGGTCCCGCTTCGTCTGGAGAGAAAAAGCTCTGTTAGAACAGTCATCATGGCTACACCCAACTCTATTACATCAACATTACAGAGGGAGAGAGATAGATACTACACATGAAGTATCTTAGCATTGCCAACAGTCATGTTTTGACTATACCTCGGCTGTATAACATGTTTTGACATTATCTCTGCTTACCCAGATCTATGTATCTCTTCCTGCTGAGCCTGTGCATGCCACCCCCTCCATTCTGGAAGAGCGGCTCTCGCCTGTGCTTCTGGATCTGCTGGCCACTGGACTCTTGACGGAACTTGATGACTCCACAGCGTTCCCTATGGGCACGCGCATGGACACACACACACACACACACACACAGAGATGAGTTTCAGCACGTGGTCCTCACCTTCACTGCAGTCTGTACTCCAAAATGCCACAGACAGGCCAGACAGGCAGACAGGCCACAGGCAGGCTAAGCAGGCAGACAGGCCACAGGCAGGCAGAAAGGCCAGACAGGCAGCCAGGCCAGGCAGGCCAGACAGGCAGACAGGCCACAGGCAGGCAGACAGGCCACAGGCAGGCTAAGCAGGCAGACAGGCCAGACAGGCCAGGCAGGCCAGACAGGCAGACAGGCCAGGCAGGCCAGGCAGGCCAGACAGGCCAGTCAGGCCAGGCAGGCAGACAGGCAGACAGGCCAGGCAGGCCAGACAGGCAGATAAAAGGACCTACTCATTTTTGGTGATGACTTTGCAGTCCTCCGGGTCGCCAAAGGCCTCGAAGCGTTTGCGCAGCATAGTTTGTGTGACGCTGCTTGGCAGGTTGTGAATGTAGAACACTCTGCAGTTGTCCTAGGCAACGACACCATGGTAACCGTCAGAACAAGACACTTGCTGCAGTGGCAAAGCATGCCTACTTCACACATTTATACTTCACAAAAATATAAATGCAACATGCAACAATTTCAAAGATTTTACTAAGTTACAGTTCATATAAGAAAATCAGTAAATTGAAATAAATTCATTAGGCCCTAATCTAAGGATTTCACATGACTAGGAATACAGATATGCATCTGTTGGTCACAGGTAACTTCTTTTTTTTTTTAAGTAGGGGCGTGGATCAGAAAACCAGTCAGTATCTGGTGTGACCACCATTTGCCTCATGCAGCGCGACACACCTCCTTCGCATAGAATTGATCAGGCTATTTATTGTGGCCTGTGGAATGTTGTCCCACTCCTCTTCAATGACTTTGCGAAGTTGCTGGAAATTGGTGGAAACTGGAACATGCTGTCATACACATCGATCCTGAGCATCCCAAACATGATCAATGGCATGTCTGGTGAGTATGCAGGCCATGGAAGAACTGGGAAATGTTCAGATTCCAGGAATTGTGTACAGATCCTTGCGACATGGGGCCGTGCATTATCATGCTGAAACATGAGGTGATGGCGGCAGATGAAAGGCACGACAATGGGCCTCAGGATCTGGTCACGGTATCTCTGTGCATTCAAATAGCCATCAATAAAATGCAATTGTGTTCTTTGTCCGTAGCTTAGGCCTGCCCATACCATAACCCCACCGCCACCATGGGGAAATCTGTTCACAACGTTGACATCATCAAACCGCTCACCCACACGACGCCATACATGCTGTCTGCCATACATGCTGTATGGGATTCATCCATGAAAAGCACACTTCTCCAGCCCATCGAAGGTAAGCATTTGCCCACTGAAGTTACGACACCGGACTGCAGTCAGGTCAAGACCCTGGTAAGGACGACGAGCACGCAGATGAGCTTTCCTGAGACGGTTTCTGAAAGTTTGTGCAGAAATTCTTCGGTTGTGCAAACCCACAGTTTCATCAGCTGTCCAGGTGGCTGGTCTCAGACAATTCCGCAGGTGAAGAAGCTGGATGTAGAGGTCCTGGGCTGGCGTAGTTACACATAGTTTGCGGTTGTGAGACCGGTTGGACGTACTGCCAAATTCTCTAAAATGACGTTGGAAGCGGCTTATGGTAGAGAAATGAACATTCAATTATCTGGCAACAGCTCAGGTGGACATTCCTGCAGTCAGCATGCCAATTGCACGCTCCCTCAAAACTCGAGACATCTGTGGCATTGTGTTGTGTGACAAAACTGCACATTTTAGCCTGGCCTTTTATTGTCTCCAGCACAAGGTGCACCCGTGCAATGATCATGCTGTTTAATCATGGTCCTCTGTAGCTCAACTGGTAGAGCACGGCGCTTGTAACGCCAAGGTAGTGGGTTCGATCCCTGGGACCACCCATACACAAAAATGTATGCACGCATGACTGTAAGTCACTTTGGATAAAAGCGTCTGCTAAATGGCATATTATTATTATTATTATTATTATTATTAATCAGCTTCTTGATATGCCACACCTGTCAGGTAGATGGATTATCTTGGCAAAGGAGAAATGCTCACTAAAAGGGATGTAAACAAATTTGTGCACAACATTTTAGAGAAATAAGCTTTTGGTGCGTATGGAACATTTCTGGGATCTTTTATTTCAGCTCATGAAACATGGGACTAACACTTTACATGTTGCATTTATATTTCTGTTCAGTGTACATAACAGGGTTGCATGACTTTGTCAAAATTCATAATGGAATAACTGGTGTTTACCTCGTCAATTTGAAACCCAGACTTGGAGATTTTGTTCCCCTGCTTGTCTCCGTGGCACGTCTCAGAGTTCTCACAGCTGAGGAGAGAGAGACACAAGGCAGAGATATTAGACAGGAGCGAATGGAAGAACCTGAGTCACATAACGATGAGAAAAGCCATAGTACTCCTGGCTGTGACTGCTAATCAGACTGATCAGGGCCTCTTTACACTACACTATTTTGATGACTCAAACTAGGATACTTGTGTAGTGTAAAGAGTCTGAGCTAGATTCAAATCTCCCTTTAAAGGTCCAGTGCAGTCAAAAACTTAATCTTCCTGTGTTTTATATATATTTCCACACTATGAGGTTGGAATAATACTGTGAAATTGTGAAAATGATGATAATGCCCTTTTAGTGTAAGAGCTGTTTAATAAGACGGCCTGAAATTTCTGCCTGTTTTGATGGGATGGAGTTTTGGCCTGCCTGGTGACATCACCAGGCGGTAAATTAGTTAATAGACCAATCCGCCAATAACAAATAGTTTTCAGTTTTCCCCTCCCCACTCCCAGACAGTCCTAGCAAAATTATTGCTTGAGAAATTGCTCTTTGCTAAGAAGCTATTTTAGTTTCTTTTTTACCATTTTAATTGAAAACAATCGCAGTAAGGTACTTAATTGTTACCCATGAATGATTTGATAATGAGACAAAAACAGCTGCATTGGACGTTTAAGAGATGTCTCCCACACCACCTCCGGAGGTAAACATCTACACCACATACAGTTGAAGTCGGAAGTTTACATACACTTAGGTTGGAGTCATTAAAACTCATTTTTCAACCACTCCACACATTTCTTGTTAACAAACTATAGTTTTGGCAAGTCGGTTAGGACATCTACTTTGTGCATGACATAAGTCATTTTTCCAACAATTGTTTACAGACAGATCATTTCACTTATAATTCACTGTATCACAATTCCAGTGGGTCAGAAATGTACATACACTAAGTTGACTGTGCCTTTAAACATCTTGGAAAATTCCAGAAAATGATGGCATGGCTTTAGAAGCTTCTGATAGGCTAATTGACATCATTTGAGTCAATTGGAGGTGTACCTGTGGATGTACTGCAAGGCCTACCTTCAAACTCAGTGCCTCTTTGCTTGACATCATGTGAAAATCAAAGGAAATCAGCCAAGACCTCAGAAAACAATGTGTAGACCTCCACAAGTCTGGTTCATCCTTGGGAGCAATTTTCAAATGCCTGAAGGGTACCACGTTCATCTGTACAAACAATAGTACGCAAGTACAAACACCATGGGACCACACATCTGTCATACCGCTCAGGAAGGAGACTCGTTCTGTCTCCTAGAGATGAACGTACTTTGGTGCGAAAAGTGCAAATCAATCCCAGAACAACAGCAAAGGACCTTGTGAAGATGTTGGAGGAAACAGGTACAAAAGTATCTATTTCCACAGTGTAAAATGAGTCCTATATCGACATAATCTGAAAGGCCGCTCAGCAAGGAAGAAGCCACTGCTCCAAAACTGCCATAAAAAAGCCAGACTACGGTTTGCAACTGCACATGGGGACAAAGAACGTACTTTTTGGAGAAATGTCCTCTGGTCTGATGAAACAAAAATAGAACTGTTTGGCCATAATGACCATCGTTATGTTTGGAGGAAAAAGGGGAAGGCTTGCAAGCCGAAGAACACCATCCCAACCGTGAAGCACGGGGGTGGCAGCATCATGCTATGGGGATGCTTTGCTGCAGGAGGGACTGGTGCACTTCACAAAATAGATGGCATCATGAGGAAGGAAAATTATGTTGATATATTGAAGCAACATCTCAAGACATCAGTCAGGAAATGAAAGCTTGGTCGCAAATGGGTCTTCGAAATGGACAACGACCCAAAGCGTACTTCCAAAGTTGTGGCAAAATGGCTTAAGGACAACAAAGTCAAGGTATTGGAGTGGCCATCACAAAGCCCTGACCTCAATCCTATAGAAAATGTGTGGGCAGAACTAAAAAAGCATGTGCGAGCGAGGAGGACTACAAACCTGACTCAGTTACACCAGCTCTGTCAGGAGGAATGGGCCAAAATTCACCCAACTTATTGTGGGAAGCTTGTGGAAGGAAACGTTTGACCCAAGTTAAACAATTTAAAGGCAATGCTACCAAATACTAATTGAGTGTATGTAAACTTCTGACTCACTGGGAATGTGATGAAATAAATAAAAGCTGAAAGAAATAATTCTCTCTACTATTATTCTGACATTTCACATTCTTAAAATAAAGTGGTGATCCTAACTGACCTAAAACGGGGAATATTTACTAGGATTAAATGTCAGGAATTGTGAAAAACTGAGTTTAAATTTATTTGGCTAAGGTGTATGTAAACTTCTGACTTCAACTGTACATCTCCCACGTCCCTGCAATAATAACCTTAATACCAGTAGACAGCATTGTTGCGCTGATAGCCAAGTTGAAAATTAAAGGCTTTTAAAATATCCACACATTTGTGAATCATTGCGTTAATCAAGTGTGCAACACTATGTGCAACATGGTTGATATGAGAAGCTCCTGTATAGTTTGAATTGCTATCCTTATTTGGTTTGTCTATATACTATGGTATTTACAGTATGCTAATAGGTACACACACACGAAGCAGGAATGTTGCTTGGGCCACACCACATCCAGGGCTAGTGTAAACAGAAAAGTTGCAAATCTGATGTTGAAGAGAAATAGATCTCACTAGACATATTTTACTAATGTAAATCCTTAGAACTGTGGTTTATATTCTCACCTGATGTCAGGCTTACTGCTAGGGGAGTGGGGCTGGCAGAAGCTGGAGTGGAGGATGGGGGAGGGAGAGCGGGAGGAGCGTTCCCCCTCTTCATCATACTTGTGGGGCGATAAAGCTTGGGGCGATCCTGATTGGCGTGCTGCCGCAGTCGCCCCCCGCCCGTCCCCCTTGCTGTCAGCCCTGGTACCGTTACTCAGGTACTCTGGTGCCTTGGAAAAGAGTTTGTCTTCACGCTGAAGTCCAAGCCTCTCGTCCCCCAGCACCCTGGACTCAGCCCTGTCCCCCTTAGGCTCTGGACCCTCAGTAGAGGAGCGTCCGAACAGGGAATGGGACAGCATGGCGGCGGTTCTCTTCCGGCGCTCCCCCAGACTCAGCAGGCAGTAGTCGTGGTCTCCGAATGTCTGGTGGACTTTGAGTTCTGCATCGCTGGCCTGGCCCATCTTGCGGAGCTGGGCGTAGAGTTCGGTCTGCTCGGGGAGCTTGCGGGAGTGGGCCCGGTTGAGCCACAAGCCCTTCGGGGGGGACTCTCCTTTCCCCTCGGGCTTGAACAGCTCATCCTCCACAGGCTTGTGAGGGGGGGTGGTGGGAGGGGTGAGGCCTGAAAACACATGCCACTCTCATAAGTCACGTGGTTTCATACAGATCTGACAGGTTAGCATCAGAGAAACATCAACGATTCACAGACAGAATGTTAATGATCAACTGTTACTGGGTGTACTGTCTGTTACTGAACTGAGTAACTATCTGGTTACGACAGGGACATTGCAGAATAGCTGTCTTTCAACGGCTTTCCTAATAGAACAAATTGCTTTGATGCTGTTATATCGTAAACATTACAGCAACACAGCATCTCGATATGGCACAAGGCGAGCACACAATCTCCTATTGATTTTGACCGAAGAGCATATTTGACATTCAATTGTTAAACGTTATGGATTTTGAGGACGATATCAGCGGCAGACACTGCATTGTAATATCTGTTTTCTCAGCTACCCAAGTAGCTATGGAACCAAATTAGCCCTGTCAAGATGACATTTACCCAGGAATAGAGTGAAGTCATGCTCTTTCGAACACAATACAAATACATTCCCCCTCTCCTCTACCACTCTACTACTGAGCTGTTAGCCACACTTTATCTACAGTACATTATGTTACAGTACTATATCTACAGTACATTATGTTACAGTATTATATCTACAGTACATTATGTTACAGTACTATATCTACAGTACATTGTGTTACAGTACTATATCTACAGTACATTATGTTACAGTACTATATCTAGTCTCCTGTACATTATGTTACAGTACGATTTCTACAGTCTACAGTACATTATGTTACAGGACTATATCTACAGTCTACAGTACATTATGTTACATTACATTATGTCACAGTACTATATCTACAGTACATTGTTACAGTACTATATCTACAGTTTACAGTACATTATGTTACAGTACTATATCTACAGTCTACAGTACATTATGTTACAGTACTATATCTACAGTCTACAGTACATTATGTTACAGTACTATATCTACAGTCTACAGTACATTATGTTACAGTACTATATCTACAGTACATTGTTACAGTACTATATATACAGTCTACAGTACATTATGTTACAGTGCTATATATACACCAGATACACTGGTCTACAGTACATTATGTTACAGTACTATATCTAGTCTCCAGTACATAATGTTACAGTATGATTTCTACAGTCTACAGTACATTATGTTACAGTACTATTTCTACAGTACATTATGTTACAGTACTATATCTAGTATCCAGTACATTATGTTACAGTACTAGTTCTACACCAGATACACTGGTCTACAGTATATTATGTTACAGTACTATATCTATACCAGATACACTGGTCTCCAGTACATTATGTTACAGTACTATATCTACAGTCTACAGTACATTATGTTACAGTACTATATATACAGTACATTATGTTACAGTACTATATCTAGTCTCCAGTACATTATGTTACAGTACTATTTCTACAGTCTACAGTACATTATGTTCCAATACTATATCTAGTATCCAGTACATTATGTTACAGTACTATATCTACAGTACATTATGTTACAGTACTATATCTACAGTACATTATTATTAAGAGTACTATATCTACTACAGTACATTATGTTACAGTACTATATATACAGTATATTATGTTACAGTACTATATCTATTCTCCAGTACTTTATGTTACAGTACTATTTCTACAGTACATTATGTTACAGTACTATATCTAGTCTCCAGTACATTATGTTACAGTACTAGTTCTACACCAGATACACTGGTCTACAGTACATTATGTTACAGTACTATATCTACAGTCTACAGTACAGTATGTTCCAATACTATATCTAGTCTCCAGTACATTATGTTACAATACTATATCTACAGTACATTATGTTATAGTACTATATCTAGTCTCCAGTACATTATGTTACAGTACTATATATACAGTATATTATGTTACAGTACTATATCTATTCTCCAGTACTTTATGTTACAGTACTATTTCTACAGTACATTATGTTACAGTACTATATCTAGTCTCCAGTACATTATGTTACAGTACTAGTTCTACACCAGATACACTGGTCCACAGTACATTATGTTACGTACTATATCTACAGTCTACAGTACAGTATGTTCCAATACTATATCTAGTCTCCAGTACATTATGTTACAATACTATATCTACAGTACATTATGTTATAGTACTATATCTAGTCTCCAGTACATTATGTTACAGTACTATATATACAGTATATTATGTTACAGTACTATATCTATTCTCCAGTACTTTATGTTACAGTACTATTTCTACTATGTTACATTACGTATCTAAGTTACAGTAATTGTTCATACTATATCTAGTCTCCAGTACATTATGTTACATACTATTACTACAGTACATTGTTAAGTACATATCTAGTCTCAGTACATTATGTTACAGTACTATTCTACAGTCTACAGTACATATGTTCCAATACTATATCTAGTCTCTGGTACATTATGTTACAGTACTATATCTACAGTACATTATGTTACAGTACTATATCTAGTCTCCAGTACATTATGTTACAGTACTAGTTCTACACCATATACACTGGTCTACAGTACATTATGTTACAGTACTATCTATACCATCATGTCTACAGTACATTATGTTACAGTACTATACCTACATCTACAGTACATTATGTTACAGTACTATTCTACGTCTACAGTACATTATGTTAAGTACTATCTACACCAATACACTGGTCTACAGTACATTATGTTACAGTACTACTATACCTACATGTCTACAGTACATTATGTTACAGTACTATACCTACAGTCTACAGTACATTATGTTACAGTACTATACCTACAGTCTACAGTACATTATGTTCAGTACTATATCTACAGTCTACAGTACATTATGTTACAGTACTATATCTACAGTCTACAGTACATTATGTTACAGTACTATACCTACAGTCTACAGTACATTATGTTACAGTACTATACCTACAGTCTACAGTACATTATGTTTCAGTACTATATCTACAGTCTACAGTACATTATGTTACAGTACTATATCTACAGTCTACAGTACATTATGTTACAGTACTATACCTACAGTCTACAGTACATTATGTTACAGTACTATACCTACAGTCTAAAGTACATTGTTTACAGTACTATACCTACAGTCTACAGTACATTATGTTACAGTACTATACCTACAGTCTACAGTACATTATGTTACAGTACTATACCTACAGTCTACAGTACATTATGTTTCAGTACTATATCTACAGTCTACAGTACATTATGTTACAGTACTATATCTACACCAGATACACTGGTCTACAGTACATTATGTTACAGTACTATACCTACAGTCTACAGTACATTATGTTACAGTACTATATCTACACCAGATACACTGGTCTACAGTACATTATGTTACAGTACTATGCTACTTCTGACAGACACAATAGGATATAGATCCAAAATGCTGCTCTCATCCAGTCGCGTAAAAGGTGTAAAAGACGTCACAATTATCAACACTGACTCAAAGCCCCAACATTACCTGCTGTGCCACACAGGTCCACGCAGAGTGTCTGCTCAAAGGGCTTGTTGGCATACTGTGTGTCTCTGATCATGGGGAAGAAAGAGAGAGAGAGAGAGAGAGAGAGAGAGAGAGAGAGAGAGAGAGAGAGAGAGAGAGAGAAAGAACGAGAACGAGAGAGAGAGAACGAGAGAGAGAACGAGAGAGAGAACGAGAGAGAGAGAGAGAGAGAGAGAACGAGAGAGAGAGAGAGATTGCAGAGTCATCATCAAGGCCAGGGGAAGGGGTGTGGAGTTGGGACAAAGGATACTGCTGAGTGCTGACTGATGATTCTTTAGGATTTCTTAAGGCGCTATGAGGGTTTAGTAGGGTTTATGAGTGTTTCGTAGAGTTTATAAGGGTTTAGTAGGGTTGATGAGGGTTTGTTAGGACTTATGCAGGTTTAGTAGGGTTTAACAGGGTTTATGAGGGTTTGGTAGGTTTTATGAGGGTTTAGTAGGGTTTATGAGGGTTTAGTAAGGTTTATGAGCGTTTAGTAGGGTTTACGTTTGAAGTTTGTATTACATTTCCATTGTGAATGTGAGCATTCCCTTTTTCCTGTAATGTTTTTCTTTACAGCCTTCTGTGATTGGTATTACAGTACAACTACGTCTCCTATTGAGGTCTATTTTGGGATCTGTGTTACCATGAAAGGCTTTTGTGGAGTGATTTGGGGATATTACAGGGAACATCACAGTAATTTTACACATGGAAGAGTTCCAGAAGTCAACATTAAAAAGAGCTTTGTGATTGCTTGACTGGACAGATGGGCCAGCAGTATATGTGTTGTAGTGTATAGGAATATAGTATGGAAAACAAACCCTGAAGATTTGGGAGTCAGCGGCAGACAGAGGCAGGTGCGTTTCTCTGCAATCAGAACAACAGAAAGAGTTAATGGTACCAATGATTACATACATGGTCAGAGAACACCCCAGCAGATCTAGCAGGTGTAGAAACAGCCTTTTGCTTAGCACGCTGTGTAAAAATGCTGGCGCTCTTTATTTTTCATCCACGTCAAATTGAAGAAAGATGCTGCATGATGGAGCCATGTGGACTGGCACAACAGGACTGGTGTAGGGAGCTTGGTGCTTCATCTTCCTTACCGTTTTGACAGCAGAGGTTATCGGGTTCGGCTGCGTCTGCCGTGGTTTGGAAAGAAGTACTGTTGTTAGGGGTGGTGGTGTCTTCCTCCAGGTTGTGTCCCATGGGGTGTTTGACCGCCGTGTCCTCCTCGCCAGGGCGCCCCGCTCCCGACGAAGGCTCCACCCTCATCTGGCCCGCACGCAACTTCTTGGCGAAGCGGCTGGGGAAAGAGGCGAGCCTGCGGGAGCGGCGGACAGAGAAAGAGGCATCCTCCAGATCGGGGCTCTTAGGGGCCTCTAGTACCCTGTCGCTCTCAGAGCCAGCAGAGTATTTTCTAAGCTCTGGTTTGGTTGAACGGGCAGCCGGACTGGGGGTCTCAGTCTTTCTGTCTTGCGCTGGTTTGGGGATAGCTCCTCTGTTATGGGTGTAGGGGGGGCTGTGGAGTCTGTAAGGCTTGCTCACGTCAAAGGATTTGACCGCTTCGAGCAGTTCGCGCAGGAGAGAGTTGGCTTTGAACTCCCGTCTGCGGGTGAAGGCGAGGCGTGGCCGAGGGACGCTGCTCTGGACCTGGGTTGCAGCCTTGTGACAGTTTGGGGGGATACGAGCCGGGGGACACTCGGGCCTGGCCCTGCGTACCTGGCCTGGGCACTCGCGCTCCTTGCGCTCCCAGTTGGCCTGCTTGCGTGTGGGGAGGCAGTATGTGTGCATGTACTTGATGAGCTCTACCACAGAGTGCAGTTCTTTCTCCGAGGAGAACTGGGGCTTGGCGGGATCAGGCGGGGTGGAGCTTTCACCCTCACTGCTCGAGGTCTCTTCCTCCTCCTCCTCTTCTTCCTCCTCGGACTCACTGTCCTCCTCGTTATCATCTTCCTCCTCCTCCCCGTCCTCCTCTGTGTCAGCTGAAGGAGTGTCCTCGGCCTCCTGTGTGGTGGTCAGGTGCCGGTGGAGCTCTGTGCACAGACGTCCAGCTGGTCGCACCGCTCGGGGTTTACGCTCCTGTGTGCTGTCAGGCTGCAGAAAGAAACACAGAGATTAGAGTTAGAGTTATTACCTACAAACATGACCTTGGTGAGACTCTGTGCACTGCATGATCCAAGAGATTAACGAATTACTTCTATGTCTAGTCAATGACTACATACCGTACAGAGTGAACAACTCATGACTACATACCGTACAGAGTGAACAACTCATGACTACATACCGTACAGAGTGAACAACTCATGACTACATACCGTACAGAGTGAACAACTCATGACTACATACCGTACAGAGTGAACAACTCATGACTACATACCGTACAGGGTGAACAACTCATGACTACATACCGTACAGAGTGAACAACTCATGACTACATACCGTACAGAGTGAACAACTCATGACTACATACCGTACAGAGTGAACAACTCATGACTACATACCGTACAGGGTGAACAACTCATGACTACATACCGTACAGAGTGAACATCTCATGACTACATACCGTACAGGGTGAACAACTCATGACTACATACCGTACAGAGTGAACAACTCATGACTACATACCGTACAGAGTGAACAACTCATGACTACATACCGTACAGAGTGAACAACTCATGACTACATACCGTACAGGGTGAACAACTCATGACTACATACCGTACAGAGTGAACAACTCATGACTACATACCGTACAGGGTGAACAACTCATGACTACATACCGTACAGGGTGAACAACTCATGACTACATACCGTACAGAGTGAACAACTCATGACTACATACCGTACAGAGTGAACAACTCATCAGCAACCAAAACCAACACAGAGACCCTTCTTTGTGATTGTGACAATTTGCCAAAGTTATACAACAATTAAGATTAGATTAAGATCACTTTATTAATATTAATTGTACACAAGGTCCAACCAAAATATGACTTCCTCTTTATCCCAACCTCCAAAAGACACACATACAGGTTGGAGCAGGGGGCTGCCACACTGGGCGCCCGTGGAGCAGCTGTTGTGGGGGGTTGAATACCTTGCTCAAGGGCACAACGGCAACTAGGATTTGATACCAGCAGCAATCTGGTTGCCAGCTCACTTCATGACAGATTTTTCCATCAGACCTGGGATTGGAACTGGCTCGCCCCTCTAACCGCTAGGCTACCTGCCGCATACCAATGTTCCAAGTAGAGAGAGAGAGAGAAGAGAGAGAGAGAGAGAGAGAGAGAGAGAGATAGAGAGAGAGAGAGAGAGAGAGCTAGAGAGAGAGAGAGAGATAGAACGACTTAGAAGAGAGAACGAGAAACGAGAGAGAGTATAACGAGAAGCGATAGAACGAGAAAGAAACGAGAACGAGATCAGAGAGAGAACGAGATAGATTTAACCAAGAGAGAATGATATAGAGAACCGATAGAAGAGAGAGATACGATAGAACGAAAGATAGAGAGAGAGCTACGAGATAGAGATATATAAGAGACGAGACTAGACGAGATAGCACGGGCTTAGATATACGAGAGTACTAGAGAGCCGATAAAGAACGATATATCACGAGAAGGAGATAGCGAGAAGAGAGAGAGAGAGAGAGAGAGAGAGAGAGATCATTGTCAGAGCTGCCCTTCCCCTGGTCAGCCATCTGTCACTCCAAAGATGACACATGCCTTGGCCCCCGCAACCAGAACTGAAAAGCCAGAACAGGACAGGGGTAATAAATGAGAAAACACAGGCTTAGTATAGAACTAAGGGTCATAATATAGAACTAAGGGTCATAATATAGAACTAAGGGTCATAATATAGAACTAAGGGTCATAATATAGAACTAAGGGTCATAATATAGAACTAACGGTCATAATATAGAACTAACGGTCATAATATAGAACTAACGGTCATAGTATAGAACTAAGGGTCATAATATAGAACTAAGGGTCATAATATAGAACTAACGGTCATAATATAGAACTAACGGTCATAATATAGAACTAACGGTCATAATATAGAACTAACGGTCATAATATAGAACTAACGGTCATAGTATAGAACTAAGGGTCATAATATAGAACTAAGGATTATAATATAGAACTAAGTGTCATAGTATAGAACTATGGGTCATAGTATAGAACTAAGGATTATAATATAGAACTAAGTGTCATAGTATAGAACTATGGGTCATAGTATAGAACTAAGTAAGGGTCATAGTATAGAACTAAGGGTCATAGTATAGAACTATGGGTCATATTATAGAACTAAGTAAGGGTCATAGTATAGAACTAAGGGTCATAGTATAGAACTAACGGTCATAATATAGAACTAAGGATTATAATATAGAACTAAGTGTCATAGTATAGAACTATGGGTCATAGTATAGAACTAAGTAAGGGTCATAGTATAGAACTAAGGGTCATAATATAGCACTAAGGGTCATAGTATAGAAAGCCTTTCCTGTCGTGTGGCCTATGCACCCACTCTCTCTCTCTTTAAAGTAAAGATTCACCCATTTTGAATGTTATATTGTTGTTGTGCATCTCCAAGCGACGTTCTATCGATTCCCGGTGTCATTTCATGTTTTCATATATATCTGAGCTATTGCCGTTCAAGCAGGCAGAAATTCAGCCGGTATGACGTAGCATTGCGATAAAGCCGCTCTCACTACACTCGAAGTTAATAGGAATCAGATTTCAATACTGTCCGATGCCATAACGCGAGAGGTTGTCTTCTCTCGAATGAGCCATTGATCATATTTTTGCAATATTCCTACCTCGAGAAATGTGTAATTTAACAGAGGGTCTAACACATTTCTCCTATTTGTCTGCCTCTTCAGTCCAGGGTGCATTGCATGGTGCCGTTGCGAATGTCAGGCTCCACTCTGTGAGGCACATAGATCTGAAGGTTAAACATGGTGAGATTGTAGAGCAGTTTGTTTAGGTGATTTTACAGCTAACTAGCTACTTCACATGCAGATATGGACTTTGGTATTATTGTGTGTAGCTACTTTGCTAGCTAGCTAGCTACCTAGCAAGCCAGCCCATAGAGAGAGCATTGCATTGTGGGTTTTGTAGTCGACTTGAGCTGCAACGGATTTCCACAACGATTTTCACGTTGCTACCAACCTTATTACAACGACAAAATGAAGCATTTGTTCACAAAAAATATTGTTCTCACATATTAGTGTTATGTAACTTTTATAGGAATGAGTGGTTTTGGTTGGATTTTTCCTTTAAGTCTCTCATGTTCCCTTCATTCTGAGCTTCTAGAGCTCTATTCTAGACAGAGCTCTTTTCTACAAAACAGAGCTCTATTCTAGAACACAGACAGAGAACTCCAACTCACTCACCTTAACCAAAGGCCTGACGGGTTTCAGATGCAGGCTCCGGCTGCTATGACGATGCACACTGCTGCCCTCTTTGTGTGACTCCAGGCCTGTGGGCATGTTAGGGGGGGATAGTAGGAGCCTTTTCAGCTGTAGAGAGGGGGACATAGATTGGGACAACTCATTTACACGTCTCCCAAATCAATCCATCCATCAGCAGAACATACAGTATCATCACTCTTGACATGGTCCATTCCGAAGCAAAAACCCTCCTTTCATTTCTGCTCCTTCATCCAGCGTTCAAACCGAAGCTGACAGGAGGAAGCTGTGTGAATAGAAGATCAAACGGAAATGTGATTCTATATCTCTCCTAGTCACTTTTTAACCAGGAGGTAATGCTGCATCGCATTTCAAATGGATATTTTATTCCCTCGCATTTCATTCACTACACATTGAGGCAGCGGTATCGCATGTGAAATCATCAGATTATATAAATCTGCTTGCAACAACAATCCCCTAAGCTGCGTTGGTTGTGGAACACACTGAGGATGTCACCAGAGTGCTGACTATAGATGTGAGGGAATGATGTGGCTGGTTCCAGTATGCTTGGCTGCTAGTTAATACTGACTGGTGTCATGTAGAAACAGATAATGAAATAGATGAGAAGAACAGTGCTAATTGAGTTGCCCATCCCTGTCAGCATGTGCCAACTTGGCATTGGCATCAATGGTGCCTCTCAGTGTTTCATTGAGGAAAGTGAAGGGGCGCTGAAGGTTTCCATCTCTATGTACAAAACACTGTTGGTCCACCCATGCCATGAAAGACTACTCTCCTCTGGTCCACTTCCTGCGCTGCCTGGCTCAATGCAGCCCTTGTTCTCTGCTGCTCACACACACGCGCGTGCACAGCCTCTTGTGTGCACACATACACCTTGCATCACACACACACACACACACACACACACACACACACACACACACACACACACACGCACGTACACACACACACACACAAACACAAACAACATACAACACATGCTGAGGTCAGGTGCAGTTACAGGTCCTGCCAGCAGAGGGAGTCCTGCTCCTCCACTCACAAACCAGTCATGACACTCCCAGGGTAATCTTGTTCCCAGACACTTCCGCCCAAATGCGCAAAGAGTCTAGTGGACCAACGCATCAGACTTGGCCTTTGTTAGCCAATACAGAGAGAAACTCAACTAACCAATCATCTCCCACAACACATTCTCAAACCACAAGCACAGAGCCACACCTCAGTCATGTGATTCGCTAAAATTAAATGATGACAAATACTTTACTCAGTAAGGTCACTTCCATAGAATCCTATGGTCACTCCTACTAAGGCCAACTTTGAGTGGTTGATATCCCAGGCTTATATGCGCTGTGTGGTGAGGTTACCCCCAGGGTCACATCAATAAATCCCCTGGTCTGTCACTGGGATGGAGAGGGACTGACAGGCAGGGAGGCAGGCAGGGAGGTGGACTGTTACATGTCACCATGTTAATCCACACTTCACCATAAAATTTGCCTTTTTTGCCTAAAAACAGGTGCAGAGGGTCAAGATTTTGAATATAATAATGAAATTGTGACAAAATATTGCCCATCAGTCCACTACTCTAGCCTATATATTTGTCAGTAAAAACATCACAGATGTTTACCTCTGAATGACTAGCATGCACAACAACAAATGTTTACCTCTGAATGACTAGCATGCACAACAACAGATGTTTACCTCTGAATGACTAGCATGCACAACAACAGATGTTTACCTCTGAATAACTAGCATGCACAACAAATGTTTACCTCTGAATGACTAGCATGCACAACAACAAATGTTTACCTCTGAATAACTAGCATGCACAACAACAAATGTTTACCTCTGAATGACTAGCATGCACAACAACAGATGTTTACCTCTGAATAACTAGCATGCACAACAACAAATGTTTACCTCTGAATAACTAGCATGCACAACAACAAACAGAATTCCAGTTTTGATCATTTTGTCGTATTGCTGCTACCAGTGCCAACTGATACCAACTCCCATGAAGATTCTTAAGCTATCTAAGGACATCATGAGGGTAATTTCCATCAATTTGTTAAAAATGTCCCATCAGTGGGTATATACAGTTGAAGTCAGAAGTTTACATACACTTAGGTTGGAGTCATTAAAACTGGTTTTTCAACCACTCCACAAATTTCTTGTTAACAAACTATAGTTTTGGCAAGTCGGTTAGGACATTTACTTTGTGCATGACACAAGTAATTTTTCCAACAATTGTTTACAGACAGAAAGTCAGAAGTTTACATACACTTAGTTGACTGTGCCTTTAAACAGCTTGGAAAATTCCAGAAAATGATGACATGGCTTTAGAAGCTTCTGATAGGCTAATTGACATAATTTGAGTCAATTGGAGGTGTACCTGTGGATGTATTTCAAGGCCTACCTTCAAACTCAGTGCCTCTTTGCTTGACATCATGGAAAAATCAAAAGAAATCAGCCAAGACCTCAGAATATTTTTTGTAGACCTCCACAAATCTGGTTCATCCTTGGGAGCAATTTCCAAACGCCTGAGGGTACCACGTTCATCTGTACAAACAATAGTACGCAAGTATAAACACCATGGGACTACGCAGCCGTCATACTGCTCAGGAAGGAAACGCGTTTCCTAGATATGAACGTACTTTGGTGCGAAAAGTGCAAATCAATCCCAGAACAACAGCAAAGGACCTTGTGAAGATGCTGGAGGAAACAGGTACAAAAGTATCTATATCCACAGTAAAACGAGTCCTATATCGACATAACCTGAAAGGCCGCTCAGCAAGGAAGAAGGCACTGCTCCAAAACCGCCATAAAAAAGCCAGACAAAGATTTTACATTTTGGAGAAATGTCCTCTGGTCTGATGAAACAAAAATAGAACTGTTTGGCCATAATGACCATCATTATGTTTGGAGGAAAAAGGGAGTCCTTGTAAGCCGAAGAACACCATCCCAACCGTGAAGCACGGGGGTGGCAGCATCATGCTGTGAGGGTGCGTTGCTGCTGGAGGGACTGGTGCACTTCACAAAATAGATGGCATCATGAGGAAGGAAAATTATGTGGATATATTGAAGCAACATCTCAAGACATCAGTCAGGAAATGAAAGCTTGGTCGCAAATGGGTCTTCCAAATGGACAATGACCCCAAGCATACTTCCAAAGTTGTGGCAAAATGGCTTAAGGACAACAAAGTCAAGGTATTGGAGTGGCCATCACAAAGCCCTGACCTCAATCCTATAGAACATTTGTGGGCAGAAATGAAAAAGCGTGTGCGAGCAAGGAGTCCTACAAACCTGACTCAGTTACACCAGCTCTGTCAGGAGGAATGGGCCAAAATTCACCCAACTTATTGTGGGAAGCTTGTGGATTGCTACCCGAAACGTTTGACCCAAGTTAAACAATATAAAGGCAACGCTACCAAATACTAATTGAGCATATGTAAACTTCTGACCCACTGGGAATGTGATGAAAGAAATAAAAGCTTAAATAAATAATTCTCTCTACTATTATTCTGACATTTCACATTCTAAAAATAAAGTGGTGATCCTAACTGACCTAAGACAGGGAATTCTTACTAGGATTAAATGTCAGGAATTGTGAAAAACTGAGTTTAAATGTATTTGGCTAAGGTGTATGTAATCTTCCGACTTCAACTGTATATAGTCTGAATGTTATCCGGTAATTGTAATCATCTCTGAGAGGCTGAGTGAGTAGGGGTAGAGACCATGTATGTATGTAGATAACTCGTTTCACTCAGCGCTGTAACCCAAAACGACCTTTGTAACCCTTGCCTTGATCATTTGAGATTTCTGTATCTTTAAACCCGCTCCAAAGTTTGTGTCCTCTAGAAACTTAAGGAAAATGAAGGAAGTATGTTGGCTTCATTGTGGACAAGAGCAATAAGGACATATTACAGGAGGAATAAGAGGGAATATATTACACCAGACTTCCTAGTTCACTTTTGTGCCAGAGCTACTTACATGCTCATCCAAGCACACAGAATATCAACTGGCCAAATGTTTCCCAATGTAATGAAATCCTATTAATGTATTCTCTGTAAAATATACCAGTTTTCTGTTGCAATCCAGAGCAAACATGAGTAGATAGGGACAACAGTTGAAAATAAAAACATGTTTTTCCTGAGAGGAGAGGGATGCATGGGAGAGAGGGTAGGGGCATCCCAAAGGACAGTGTGAAAAGAGGAGAGGGCTAGAAGGGGGGGTCACAGGGTTATCTCCACAGTGTAACTGCTAGCGTTATAGGAGGCTGGGCTGGGTCCTAGGAGTCAGACATGGGTATGACAGTAGTATATCACCCCTTTAAGATGGCAAAGGAGTGAGAGAGAAATAGAACAATGGCGGAAAGTAAAAAAAGGAAGATTGAATGAGAGTTAGAGGAGGTACAGTGCATTGGGAAAGTACTTTTTCCACATTTTGTTACGTTACAGCCTTATTCAAAAATGTATTATATTATCTTATTTTTCTCAAATTTTCTACACACAATACCCCATAACGCCAAAGCGAAAAAAAAAAAAACTGATTTTTAGTAAGTTTTGCAAATTTATTACAACTAAAAAACAGAAATACCTTATTTCCATAAGTATTCAGACCCTTTGCTATGAGACTCGAAATTGAGCTCAGGTGCATCCTGTTTCCATTGACCATCGTTGAGATGTTTCTACAACTTGATTGGAGTCCACCTGTGGTAAATTCAATTGATTGGACATGATTTGGAAAGGCACACACCTGTCTATATAAGGTCCCACAGTTCACAGTGCATGTCAGAGCAAAAACCAAGCCATGAGGTCGAAGGAATTGTCCATAGAGCTCCGAGACAGGATTGTGTCGAGGCACAGATCTGGGGAAGGGTACCAAAAAATGTCTGCAGTATTGAAGGTCACCGAGAACACAGTGGCCTCCATCATTCTTAAATGGAAGAAGTTTGGAACTACCCAGACTCTTCCTAGAGCTGGCCGCCCGGCCAAACTGAGCAATCGGGGGAGAAGGGCCTTGGTCAGGGAGGTGAACAAGAACCCGATGGTCACTGACAGAGCTCCAGAGTTCCTCTTTGGAGATGGGAGAACCTTCCAGAAGGACAACCATCTCTGCAGCACTCCACCAATCAGGCCTTAATGGTAGAGTGGTCAGACGGAAGCCACTCCTCAATAAAAGGCACATGACAGCCCGCTTGGAGTTTGCCAAAAGGCACCTAAAGGACTCTCAGACCATGATAAACAAGATTCTCTGGTCTGATGAAACCAAGATTGAATTCTTTGGCCTGAATGCCAAGCATCATGTCTGGAGGAAACCAGGCACCGCTCATCACCTGGCCAATACCATCCCTACGGTGAAGCATTGTGGTGGCTGCATCATGCTGTGGGGATGTTTTTCAGCGGCAGGGACTGGGAGACTAGTCAGGATGGAGGGAAAGATGAAAGATTAACAGAGAGATCCTTGAAGGAAACCTGCTCCAGAGTGCTCAGGACCTCAGACTGGGGCGAAGGTTCACCTTCCAACAGGACAACGACCCTAAGCACACAGCCCAGACAACACAGGAGTGGCTTCGGGACAAGTCTCTGAATATCCTTGAGTGGCCCAGCCACAGCCCGGACTTGAACCCGGTCTAACATCTCTGGAGAGACCTGAAAATAACGGAGCAGCGACATTCCCCATCCAACCTGACAGAGCTTGAGAAGATCTGCAGAGAAGAATGGGAGAAACTCCCCAAAAACAGGTGTCCCAAGCTTGTAGCGTCATACCTAAGAAGACTCGAGGCTGTAACCGCTGCCAAAGGTGCTTCAACAAAGTACTGAGTAAAGGGACTGAATACTTATGTAAATGATTTTTTTTTTTTTTTACTTGCAAAAAAATTTGAAACACCTGTTTTTGCTTTGTCATTATGGGGTCTTAAATAATATAAATAAATAAATTGGTCATTTAGCAGACAGTCTTATCCAGAGCGACTTACAGGAGCAATTAGGGTTAAGTGCCTTGCTCAAGGGCACATCGACAGATTTTTCACCTAGTCGGCTCGGGGATTAGAACCAGCAACCTTTCGGTTACTGGCACAACGCTCTTAACCACTAAGCTACCTGCCGCCCCGAGTGTAGATTGATGAAGGGAAAAAAACATTTAATCAATTTTAGAATAAGGCTGTAATGTAACAAAATGTGGAAAAAGTGAAGGGGTCTGAATACTTTCCGAATGCACTGTAGGGGGAGTGGCGGGGGTAGGGGAGGTAAGGGGGTCAAAAAGAGGTGAGAGCCACAGTTTCTTTAAGAGAACATGTTTGTGGTCCAGGTTGCCTGCCTGTGCCTGCCAGTAAAAAGCATTCTTATTAGAAGTAGTGGTTGCTAAAAAGAATGGAAAAGCCCAAAATGAGAAAAATTCAGACCTTTGTTGACTATCATACCCATGCTGTGGGGTAGTCAGAGCAGAGGCCCATCCAAATCCATCTTAAACAGTGAGGAAGGGTTCTTACTAAAGATGGATCTTCTGTCTCTGGGCTCAGGGAGCCTGAAGGGAAGGGGAGGTCATCCTCAGACCCCTCCCCCAGCGAGGGAAACACAGACAGCCCCCCCTCCTCGTCCTCCACCATGCCGTCCAGGCTGTCTGTGAGAGCAGCCAGCAGCGCCGCATTCTCATCTTCTATCTGGAGGGGGCAGGAGAGAAAGAGAGGGCATCAGTGAACACACTACTACCCACTTACAACACAGTCAGTCACAGAGCACTCTGCATTTGAATTCTGAAATGGCTACTCTAGTCTGAGAGCACCATCCATTCATACACAGTGTTGTTCGTTTTAGCAGCTGCCATGTTGCTAAGAGCATAGAGTCTGGTGGTGGGATGATAGCGGAGCGGAGACAGCCTATGGGAAGTGAGCGAGGCTTCATCTCCCCCACCCCACCCATCTGAAGGTTAAATTAACTAAGCTGGGAGATCAATGGCTTCCACACAGGCATCCAAAACAAGGCCCAGAGGGGACCGTCCCAATCCAATCTTTACTCTACCCCTCTAAAATCAATCTGAACAAGGGATTACAATCAAGTGGATGGTAAAATAAACAACAGCGTTGGGTGGTGGGGCCCTGCTCACTCAATCACTACCATGGTGGATGATGTTTATGAACACATTATATTAGATCTGTGCATTAGTCTGATCGATAAAAACCACTGAAGGGAATTCTAAAATGGGAGTCTACAAACTTATCATAGACTAAGACTGGAGCCTCTTCAATTTACCAATAATCTGTGTAGTCTAGTCCTATGTAGGGTTGCAAAATTCCATGAACTTTCAATAAAATCCCTGGTTTTCCCAAAATCCCGGTTGGAGGTCTCCTGGAATCAGGAGGGAAATCCTGAATCATCCAAACAGGATTTCTGGAAAACCAGGGAATTTATTGAAAGTCACAGGCATTTGTAACCCTACACTCTTAGAAAGAAGGGTTCCAAAGGGGTTATTTGGCTGTCCCCATAAGAGAACCCTTTTTGGTTCTAAGTAGAACCCTTTTTGGTTCCAGGTAGAACCCTTTTTTTGTGTTCCCTGTAGAACCCTCTGTGGAAAGGGTTCTTCTACATGGAACCCAAAAGGGTTCTATCTGGAACCAAAAAGGGTTCTTCAAAGGGTTCTCCTATGGGGACAGCCGAAGAACCGTTTTAGGTTCTAGTTAGCACCTTTTTTTCTAAGAGTGTAGTCCTACGCCATAGGAATCTACAGCCATGTTTTAGGGTTATTCTAGTCCCTATGTTGGAGTTCTATTACATAGGGTGGGTGGTCCTGGTGGAATCCTTGCCTGGTCCCAGATCAGTTTCCAAGACAGCACAAACAGATCTGGGCCCGTATCCACAAAGCGTCTCAGAGTAGGCGTGCTGATCTATGATCTGTCTAATCTTATTCATTATGATCTAAAGGCAAAACTGATCCTAGATCAGCACTCCTACTCTGAAACACGTTATGGATCCAGGCCCAGGCTAGTGGAATCCCGTGCACACGGGCCGAGCATCTCACCTCAAAGAGCTCCGGGTCTGGTGTGCTGTACTGGATGGAGGCAGGGGAGATGTCACAATTGTCGTTGCACCAGTGGAGCTCGCTGAGGCAGTTGACTGAGTCAAAGTTGCTGGCGTCCAGCTGAGAGAGGTCAATGTCAGGGAAGTCAGCATCCAGGCGGTCCGAGCAGACCTCCTCCTCCCCATACTGTAGAGAGAGAGAGAGAGGAGGGAGGGAGGGTCAGGTTAGACTCTTGTTTGATCAAAGTCCTTTTTAAGACATACAGTACATTGAAAATATCATTGATATCTTATCAAATATATATAAATTAAATAAATTACATTGATATCAAATATGAAATAGCTGTAATGGTTAATAGAAGGGTAATGGGCCAGCAGCCACTACTTAAACCATGCTCCTCAGCATGCTCATATTAATGGAACCCGGGGTAGACTGCTACAGTACAGTAGAGTATGGTTGTCAATGACACAGAGACTTCTAAAAGAGACAGTCTCCCTCAGCACACGCTCATTACAACTAATGGACAGAGTGTTGAAACATGCACCACACAGACAGACCAGAGTCACGAGACTGAGACCATCTTCTAATGAGCCCCAGTAAAACTGGGATATTCTACTACAGGGCAGCAGTGCTGGGGGTCCTCTGGTAGTAAAACTGGGATATTCTACTACAGGGCAGCAGTGCTGGGGGTCCTCTGGTAGTAAAACTGGGATATTCTACTACAGGGCAGCAGTGCTGGGGGTCCTCTGGTAGTAAAACTGGGATATTCTACTACAGGGCAGCAGTGCTGGGGGTCCTCTGGTAGTAAAACTGGGATATTCTACTACAGGGCAGCAGTGCTGGAGGTCCTCTGGTAGTAAAACTGGGATATTCTACTACAGGGCAGCAGTGCTGGGGGTCCTCTGGTAGTAAAACTGGGATATTCTACTACAGGGCAGCAGTGCTGGGGGTCCTCTGGTAGTAAAACTGGGATATTCTACTACAGGGCAGCAGTGCTGGAGGTCCTCTGGTAGTAAAACTGGGATATTCTACTACAGGGCAGCAGTGCTGGGGGTCCTCTGGTAGTAAAACTGGGATATTCTACTACAGGGCAGCAGTGCTGGAGGTCCTCTGGTAGTAAAACTGGGATATTCTACTACAGGGCAGCAGTGCTGGAGGTCCTCTGGTAGTAAAACGGGGTTATTCTACTACAGGGCAGCAGTGCTGGAGGTCCTCTGGTAGTAAAACTGGGATATTCTACTAATTGATACCGGTTAGGAGTTCATAAATTGCAGATGTAGGCCAACACAGTTGTGTGTGTGTGCCACTGTAATGATCAAAGGACTGGTTACTCAAGCCAACTCAATTATGATGTTCTCTGGCTGAGCGAGAGAGAGAGAGCGAGCGAGAGAGAGAGAGACAGAGAAGAACAAACATCATTGTAAATACAACCCATATTTATGTTGATTTATTTTTCCCTTTTGTACTTTAACTATTTGCATATAATATGATATTTGAAATGTCTTTATTCTTTTGGAACTTTTATGAGCGTAATGTTTACTGTTCATTTTTATTGTTTATTTCACTTTTGTTTATTGTCTACTTCACTTGCTTTGTCAATGTTAACATTTGTTTCCCATGCCAATAAAGCCCTTATATTGAAATTGAATTGAGAGAGTGCTGTGGTGGCAGGCTAGCTGGTGTGTTATCTCAGAAGATGTGGAAGGAGTAAAGAGAAGAGGGAGAGGAGAATGCCTTCTGCAGGTCTGACTAGAGCGGCTCTCTCTCTCTCTCACTCTCACTCTCACTCTCACTCACTATACCAGTGAACCACAACACTGAGCAACAACCACACCATTGAACCACAACCACACAATTGAAACACAACCAGGCCATAATTGAAGTGGCTCTGGCCTCTGTCATTTAGTAATACTACACGCTGTCTGTGGGGATCCATGCTGTTGCCCATTCACCAGAACTGAATCTCTATAGAAGGAGTTCTAATCTAGGATCTGTCCATATAATGTTATTTATTATGATATAAAAGCCTAAACTGATCTTAGAACAGGACCCTTACTCTGAGATGCATTGTGGATACAGGCCCATGAATCACAATACAGGAATCATCTAAAGCACATAACTATGTGCTGTGGTGTGAATTGTTGTTAACTCAAAGGAGGTTATGTATAATAATCAACCTATCAAATGCAGAGTGGATATTATTGCCTTGTATGGACCTAAAAGGAAATGAGTCATAGTGTTCTAAAGTGGCATCAGCAACTTCCAACTGAGACATGAAAACAGTGTTAGCTCAGCCATGTGTTGTGTGCAACTACACACAGAGATAATTATGCTAATGTAGGCTGGCGCATCATTGTTAATCCAGCTGTAACCTACTACCTTCTTTTTGCCTGTCTTCCTCCTCATTCCGTTGTTCCGTTGTTCTGTTATTGGCCGATATTAGCCTTTTACGGCTGTATTTGTATCTGTGTTTAATCCACCGAACAGGATGGTAGAAGATGCGGATAAAAACACACAAAAAACTTCATAATATTTTTCTTTTTTTTCAATTTCATCATTTGTCCTGAAGAGGGTGATTTGATTTGATTTGTTGCTCCCCCTCAGCTGCTATTGTCACGGATTCAGCCGAGGCTGCCCCTCCTCCTTGCTCGGGCAGGCTTCGCCGTTCGTCGTCACCGGAGTACTAGCTACTACCAATCCATGTTTCTATGTTCGACTTGTTTTGTCTTTATTGGTCACACCTGTTTCCCATCATGTAGTTATGTCTTCCCTATTTAACCCTCTGTCTCACACTGTGTGTTGTGCGTGTTTGTTCATGTTTTGGTTGTCGTTAGTGTGCAGGTTTTTTCCTCCCTGCATGGAGGTTTGTTCTTTCTCTTACCTACGAGTAAAGTACGTTTTTTCAATTAGCTCTGTGTCCTGCGCCTGACTTCGTCCTACCGCATTACACTGACGCCTTGACAGCTATGGGGGACGTGTAGCCTACACCACCACCACTGAAATATGTGACATCAACAGAAAGCCCAAGGTGACAAGGACAAGGGAGATATAAACCAGGAATGAATATGTCAACTATGCACTCCTTGTAGATGTCCCTGTCTGTTTACAGCCAACTAGAGCCGATATTATTGGCCGATATTAGCCTTTTACGGCTGTATTTGTATCTGTGTTTAATCCACCGAAAAGGACGGTAGAAGATGCGGATAAAAACACACAAAAATAAACGTACTTCATAATATTTTACTTTTTTTTCAATTTCATAATTTGTCCTGAAGAGGGCGATCTTTACATGGCTATAAGCCTATCTTGCCTTCGCACTACAGCAAGACTGGCGACCATTACCCAACGCAACTGTTTAGAATCCTCTTGGACCTAGACTTGGCGCTCCGGTACCGCTTGCCGTGCGGTAGCAGAGAGAACAGTCTATGACTAGGGTGGCTGGAGTCTTTGACAATTTTTAGGGCCTTCCTCTGACACCGCCTGGTATAGAGGTCCTGGATGGCAGGAAGCTTGGCCCCAGTGATGCACTGGGCCGTACGCACTACCCTAGCCATACAGAAAATGTTTTTTTTTCTTCATTCCAGCTATACTAATAAAAATATTGGCAGTTATCGTGAATATTTCCCCTCTAAAACTGGTATCAGATTTTAAAAATAACATATCGGTTGGGCTCTACAGCCAACAGCCTTAATATGCTGTATACAAAATGTCCAAAATCCATAGTGGCCTTTTGACAACAGAGAGGGAGCAGGATTCTTGAGGCCATTAAAAGAGCTATTTGTTGAATTTCCATTTGTGTTCGCTTAGGCAACACTTTCCTATCCATTCAGACAAAAACGGCAAAGACATCTATATCGACCCCCCAAAAAACTAATTATAAACAGCATATGGAGGCTCGCTATAGCGTGTGTTGTGTTATATAAAGCTCACACAGTCACAGTCATGTGCTTCAAAGTCAGTGGAACGAGTCACACAGTGCTGTGTGGGTCGCTGATACTCTCTCTCACTCCCAAAGCACAACCATACAAGGACAACTTGTAGGCTGGTGAGAACAGGGAGCATTGACGAACTTCTGCTACAATTACTGTTACAACTACTGTTACTACTGTTACAACTACTGTTAATACTACTGTTAATACTACTGTTACAACTACTATTAATACTATTGCTACAGCTACTGTTACTACTGTTACAACTACTGTTAATACTACTGTTACAACTACTGTTAATACTACTGTTACAACTACTGTTAATACTATTGCTACAACTACTGTTACTACTGCTACAACCACTGAAATAACACATATGGAATCATGTAGTAACCAAAAAAGTGTTACACAAATCAAAATATATTTTATATTTGAGATTCTTCAAATAGCCACCCTTTGCCTTGATGACAGCTTTGCACACGCTTTGCATTCTCTAAACCAGCTTCATGAAGTAGTCACCTGGAATGCATTTCATTCCAATTACGATCTTGTCTAATCGCTGCAACTCCCCAACGGGAGAGGCGAAGGTTGAGTCATGCGTCCTCCGAAACATGACCCGCCAAACCGCGCTTAGGGGGGATATACAGAAGATAGCCCTATTTGGTAAAAGACCAAGTCCATATTATAGCAAGAACATCTCAAATAAGCAAAGAGAAAAGACAGTCCATCCTTACTTTAAGACATATAGGTCAGTCAATACGGAAAATTTGAAGAACTTTGAAAGTTTCTTCAAATGCAGTCGCAAAAACCATCAAGCGCTATGATGAAACTGGCTCTCATGAGGACCGCCACAGGAATGGAAGACCCAGAGTTACCTCTGCTGCAGAGGATAAGTTCATTAGAGTTACCAGCCTCAGAAATTGAAGCCCAAATAAATGCTTCACAGAGTTCAAGTAACAGACACATCTCAACAACTGTTCAGAGGAGACTGCATGAAACAGGCCTTCATGGTCTAATTGCTGCAAAGAAACCACTACTAAAGGACACCAATAAGAAGAGATTTGCTTGGGCCAAGAAACACGACCAATGGACATTAGACCGGTGGAAATGTGTCCTTTGGTCTGGAGTCCAAATTGGATATCTTTGGTTCCAACCACTGTGTCTTTGTGAGACAACATTCTGCAGCGATACGCCATCCCATCTGGTTTGGGCTTAGTGGGTCTATCATTTGTTTTTCAACAGGACAATGACCCAACACACCTCCAGGCTGTGTAAGGGCTATTTTACCAAGAAGGAGAGTGATGGAGTGCTGCATCAGATGACCTGGCCTCCACAATCCCCCGACCTCAACCAAATTGAGATGGTTTGGGATGAGTCGGACTGCAGAGTGAAGGAAAAGCAGCCAACAAGTGCTCAGCATATGTGGGAACTCCTTCAAGACTGTTGGAAAAGCATTCCAGGTAAAGCTGGTTGAGAGAATGCCAAGAGTGTGCAAAGCTGTCATCAATGCAAAGGCTGGCTATTTGAAGAATCTCAAATATAAAATATATTTTTTGGTTACTACATGATTCCATATGTGTTATTTCATAGTTTTGATGTCTTCACTATTATTCTACAATGTAGAATACTGCTACAACTACTGTTACAACTACTGCTACAGCTACTGCTACAACTACTGTTACAACTACTGCTACAAATACTCCTACAGCTACTGTTACAACTACTGTTACAACTACTGCTACAACTACTGCTACAACTACTGCTACAGCTACTGCTACAGCTACTGCTACAACTACTGTTACTACTGCTACAACTACTGCTACAAATACTGCTACAACTACTGCTACAGCTACTGCTACAACTACTGTTACAACTACTGTTACTACTGCTACTGCTACAGCTACTGCTACAACTACTGTTACTACTGCTACAGCTACTGTTACAACTACTGCTACAGCTACTGTTACAACTACTGCTACAGCTACTGTTACAACTACTGTTACAACTACTTATACAGCTACTGTTACAACTACTGCTACAGCTACTGTTACAACTACTGCTACAACTACTGTTACAACTACTGCTAAAAATACTGCTACAACTACTGCTAAAAATACTGCTACAGCTACTGTTACAACTACTGTTACTACTGCTACAACTACTACTACAACTACTGTTACAGATACTGTTACTACTGTTACAACTACTGCTACAACTACTGCTACAACTACTGTTACTACTGTTACAACTGTTACAACTACTGTTACTACTGTTACTACTGTTACAACTACTGTTACAACTACTGTTACAACTACTGTTACAACTACTGTTACTACTGTTACAACTAATGTTACAACTACTGTTACAACTACTGTTACTACTGTTACAACTACTGTTACTACTGTTACAACTACTGCTACAACTACTGCTACAGCTACTGTTACAACTACTGCTACAAATACAACTACTGTTACAACTACTGTTACAACTACTGCTACAGCTACTGTTACAACTACTGTTACAGCTACTGTTACAACTACTGCTACAAATACAACTACTGTTACAACTACTGCTACAACTACTGCTACAGCTACTGTTACAACTACTGCTACAGCTACTGTTACAACTACTGATACAACTACTGTTACAACTACTGCTACAGCTACTGTTACAACTACTGTTACTACTACTGTTACTACTGTTACAACTACTGTTACAACTACTGTTACTACTGTTACAACTACTGTTACTACTGTTACAACTACTGTTACTACTGTTACAACTACTGCTACAACTACTGTTACAACTACTGCTACAACTACTGTTACAACTACTGCTACAGCTACTGTTACAACTACTGTTACAGCTACTGTTACAACTACTGTTACAACTACTGTTACAACTACTGCTACAACTACTGCTACAGCTACTGTTACAACTACTGCTACAAATACAACTACTGTTACAACTACTGCTACAGCTACTGTTACTACTGTTACAACTACTGCTACAGCTACTGTTACTACTGTTACAACTACTGTTACAGCTACTGTTACTACTGTTACAACTACTGTTACTATTGTTACAACTACTGCTACAACTACTGTTACAGCTACTGTTACAACTACTGTTACAGCTACTGTTACAACTTCTGCTACAACTACTGTTACTACTGTTACAACTACTGTTACTACTGTTACAACTACTGCTACAGCTACTGTTACAACTACTGCTACAAATACAACTACTGTTACAACTACTGTTACAACTACTGCTACAGCTACTGTTACAACTACTGCTACAAATACAACTACTGTTACAACTACTGCTACAGCTACTGTTACAGCTACTGTTACAACTACTGCTACAAATACAACTACTGTTACAACTACTGCTACAGCTACTGTTACAACTACTGTTACTACTGTTACAACTACTGTTACTACTGTTACAACTACTGTTACAACTACTGTTACT